AGTTTATGCTGTTCCAACCTTCTGATCTTCTATTTACTACCCCAACATTCAACCGACAGGAATGGTTCCTTATGTATCCACAAAGTAGGTGACCTCTCAGCCTGCTAGAATCTGGATCACTTTTAGAAAATTGAAGGATGGGGAGGCGAAATTATGTTTTGTGTCCTTGGCGCAGCACTCAAAGCTCTGTAGATATTCCACTCCAACATCATTTCATGGTTATTTTCTATGAATTGTAGCCAGAAGGTAACATTTTGATGTTTAAGTTTTCTAATGCATTAGACTCTTATTTTCCTCAGAACAGACTCGGCTGGAGAAAATTACAGGAAAAGAAGGGAGAATTAGCACTCTCTGTTGTCTTGATAAGAGCATATGTGTGCAGGGGAATTCCACTTCTTCCTGTCCTCTCCCTTGACTCCAAACTTCCTGCATTTTTAATAAAAGCAATAACAACCGCAATGAAAATATCCAGCTTTTATTTTTGTACAGTTAAGGTGGCTCCTGCCTCTTATTTTCCCCATAACAACTCAGTGAAGTGGGCTGGGCTAAAATAATACGAATAATAATATTAACAACCATTTGGAATAAGTGAGATGAGCAAGGGATGGGATAAGCCAGATGAAGGGAAGGTAAAAGGAAGGGTGAGGAAACGAAAGGAAGTTTCCAGCATTCTTGATTGTACATTGCCACCTACAGGAATTTCTCTCTCTCTCTCTTTTTTTGGAAATAGGAGATTTAATCTGCTGCTGTTGATCTAACTATCTTCTTTCACAAGGCCTCACGTAGGGAATTCCAGGTGGGAGGTATCTAACATCCCATGGGATTCAGAACTGAGCACTCTGCATCTCCCAGTTTGTGGGCTAAGACAAATGAAATGTTCAAGCATTTCAATGGAGTTTACATCACCAAACTGAGGGAGCGTGAAAGGCATACAAGGTCGCCCAAAGCAACAGCAAATTCACAGGGAAAATAAAGCTTATCACCTTAGGGAACTATCTGCAGCTCAGGGGATGATGGTATAAGGACCACACGAAAGCAGCCGAGTTACAGAGACTTATTCTCTCCATTCTATAAAGTTAAGTTTGCTTTTGTGTGTATGGAACAGATACCTGCTCTTTTATGAATGCAAGCCGTTCTCAGTTTCTGACGGTACAGGTAGTCCTCGACTTATGGCCACAATTGAGCCCAACATTGTTAAATGAGACATTTGTTAAGTGAGTTTTGCCCCGTCTTGTGACTTTCCTTGCAGATAGATAGATAGATAGATAGATAGATAGATAGATAGATAGATAGATAGATAGATAGATAGATAGATAGACGGAGATAGATAGATAGATAGATAGATAGATAGATAGATAGATAGACAGACAGACAGACAGACAGACAGACAGACAGACAGACAGAGATGGATGGATAGATAGATAGATAGATAGATAGATAGATAGATAGATAGATAGATAGATAGATAGATAGATGGATCAGGGAGGAAGGGAGAGGTGGATGGATGCATGGATGTTGCATGGACAGACAGACAGGAATCCAGTTTAAAAATGGGTTGCCAATGTGAGCCTGCAGAACACAGAGAATTGTGATTCTCCATGATTTGTGGTACAACATAAGCATTAACATCAGCTGGCAGCTGTCTGCAAGTACTGAAAAAATGAGAGGCAGCTTTGAAAAGGCAAGGAGGCCAGTGATCACCGCAGAACCTCTTTGGAATTCAGAAGAAATCCAATGATTAAGAGGTTAAACTGAGCCACAGACTGATGAATGGACCACAAGAGGGAATTTCTCTCTCCAGAAAGGATCAGATCAGGCAGCTAAAATTATTAGCCTAGTTCTCTGGTAACTGTCACCTGAGGTGGGTCTAATTGTAGGTGACTCTTGACAGCAGGCCCACTTTGTATGGGAGTAAAACAGGACCCATCACTTGCCAGGCCCGGGCAGAAAAGAGGAGAGAAGCAGAGTCCAAGTCAGGAGAGTAGCCAGAAAGACTTGTAAAAATGATGGCTTGAATGTAAAATGATAACGTTCTGCAATTTCAGAAATAAGATACAAATATAAGTGGACAAGTGAGCTGGAAACATCACCAGAGAGAGTGTAATTCTCTGATAGGGCAAGACAGAGCAAGCAGTCTCAATTGTTTTCCCATCTGCTCGATTCAAGGTTGTCATATGATTATTATTTCCATAAGGACAATGGCTTGCATAATTTATGAAAGAGATAGCAGGACAAAAAAAGGGGGTACATGTGTTAATCAAGAGGGCACAAAGATTAGACTGATGGGTTTTTTTTAAAAAAAAAAAAAACAGGATTAGTCTCTCTTTCCATAATAGAGGTAGTTCTCGATTTATGACGACAGTTGGGACCAGAATTTCCATGGCTAAACAGGGTGGCTGCTTAGCGTGTTGCATCTGATTTTGCATCCTTTTCTGGCATGATTGTTAAATGAATCAGGCCAGTTGTTAAGCGAATCCAGCTTCTCCCCCGACTGTCTGGGAAGGCTGCAAATGGTGATCAAATGACCTGGTGATCAAATGATCCAACTACATGCTAGTTGGCCAAGCGCTTGAATCTTGATCATGTGAGTGTAGAGATACTGCGGTGGTCATAATTACATTTTTCAGCACTGCTGTAGCTTCAGTCACGGAACAAATGGCTGTAAATTCAGGGCTACCTGTAGCATTAAGATGCAAGAACCTAAGAAGAATCCTAAAGTGGATCAAGCCCAGGCCCCATCTGAAACTTCAAACAAGTCTGGAGATGTTTCATTAGAGATAAAACCAGTGGTGGGATTCAGCCAGTTCATACCACTTTGGCAGAACCGGGAGCTAATCTTTTATTGCCCAGGCCCAGGATGGACTTCTGGAAGCGGCATCCACACAGAGAACCAGTTATTCACACATTTGAATCCCACCACTGGATAAAACCACTCTTGGAATCTGGCATCCAGTTTTGGTCCCCACAATATAAAAAAGATGTAGAGACCCTAGAAAGAGTGCAGAGAAGAGCAATGAAGATGATTATGGGACTGGAGGCTAAAACATATGAAGAATGGTTGAGGGAACTGGGTTTATGAAAAGAAGGTAGAGGTGAGATGGTAGCAGTGTTCCAATATCTCTGGGGCTGCCCCAAAGAAGAGGGAGTCAAGCTATTCTCCAAAGTACCTGAAGGCAGGAGAAGAAGCAACGGAGAGAAACTAATCAAGGAGAAAAGCAACCTAGAACTAAGGAGAAATTTCCTCACAGTTAGAACTTGGAAAACATTCTGATGGGCTTTAGTTGGACATGTTCTTTAATTTCCCTCAGATTACTTAATTGCATTAAGAAAAACTGTAATTTCATTAAATGACATAATTACCATTAATTCACTACGAACTCTTGATAGAAAGGATAATTATTTCGGGCGGGGGAGGAATCAAGCAGAATGAAGCACAATTCCTCACAACAGCCATTCAATGTTTAAAACCAACCTTTAAATTGTAGGGAGGGTGGAAGGGAGGGAAACGTATGTTATGCAATGGTGGATACTGGCTCTGTAACACAGGCTTAAATTTCCTAGGATGAGCTCCTCCAGACATTGCAAAAATGTTTTTTTTTTAAAGTCATCAGTAAGATCGGTCTTTAAAAGGCAGCTTGAAAGTTTATATTTGCATATGACTTACCGTAAATGCCGGCGTATAAGACGACTTCCGCGAGCGCTGAAATCGGCGCCAAAGACGGGAGTCGTCTTATACGCCGAGTCGTCTTATACGCCGGAAATACTGGTAGTTTCCGGCATATAAGACGACATTCTAGGAATGCGGCCCGGCTATAAAGACGGGGGTCGTCTTATACGCTGGGTCGCCTTGTACGCCGGCATTTACGGTATATTATATGCACTGATCATGTTACCTAGTTTGGCAATGAAACGTCTGCAAGAAAGCTCAGAGTCCTCTTCCTCTTCCTGTCTGCACACCCCACTGCCTTCTAACACTGATGATGTTACCTAGTGTGGCAATGAAACGTCTACAAGAAAACAACCAATTCAGAGAGCACCAAGAACCCCATGGTTTATACAAGCTGTCCTCAATTTACAACCATTCGTTCTCTTCTTAAAAACTTCCAGTGTTGCAGCATTCACAACTTCTGGAGGCAGGTTGTTCCACTGATTAATTGTTCTAACTGTCAAGAAATAAAAGAGAGATTTGATACAATTGCTTTCTCTCATCAGCCAGTTATTGCCTGCCCGGACAAGATCATTTAATTAGAAATGCTTGCCAACCTGCTATAAACACAGCATGGATTTGAACACTTTTTAATCATCTTTTTCTGCAAATCGCTTCCTATTCCTTTTCAAGCTTCTAAATATTTTTTTTTCCCTACTTTAAGCTTTGAAAACTCGGGGGAGGGGGGGGGGAAACTGCTTCCGAACGGAAAGTTCTCCAGGTGTTTGCCTCTCCTGACACTTTGTCTTAGAAGCTCTAAAATCTTCCAGTGGGCATATTTTTTAAAGAAAATAATATTAAATACGCCGTTCTTTATTTTTTTTTAAAAAAAGTTGAACTTATACAGTTTGCTGTATTTTCAATGCAATGAATCTCAACTCCTTCCCTCCCCATGCCAGGAAAAGAATTTCTAAAATAATTTTCATTTCTGGGATTGTTTTCAGGAAGCAATAAATTATTCATTTAGCAAGTACTTTTTGGCTAAAAAGTGGTACGTGTGGGCACACAAATACACACATGCAAACATATTTGGGCATAACCCCAAATCATAACATGGTTTGGTTGGGGTTTTTTTTTGGGGGGGAGGAGAGAATTCAGCTTCCTCCCGAGACAGAAGGTCAGAAATGTTTTCAAGTCCATCCTTCTTCAGTTTTTTTTGCATCATACAGATCTTTTATCAAGACATATATTACCCCTCCCGCCTCCAAAAGCAGCAGTTCAGTAGTTATCTAATTACAAAGGCCTCTTCAAAAACACACACATTTAATTAGGTGTGTGAATTAATCCCACTCACCACAAAAGCTATCAAGCTTCTTAGGGGAGATTCCCAGTGAAAGCAGCTTCGGAGGAACAGTATCGTGTTCCAGATTGCCATGGAGATTCTTTTCACCCGGTCCACGTTTCTTGATAAAATCTGGACAGCCGAAGGAAAGAAAATAAGGAGGGGATGAACAGGGGGAAATGAGGTTTTAGGATAGACTGGACAACAACAACCCAAAAAAAACTGCCAAACAGAGCATCGTATTCATATTTGTTGTGTCTATGTACACAAATGACTTTTTACAAGTTTAAGTTATTTTTATTGTTATATGGGTAGTGTTCTACCAAGCTTGGAACACACTGACAATTCTCTTTGCTCTACAGTGCGTCATTCTTAAAAAGCTAGAAAGCAATATGATGGGTAGGGGGAATGTTTAATTGAAACAAGGGTTTTTCCCATTTAAAGAACCCAATGAATTCTTACATTCAACCCCAAAGCTAACATTCCAATTCAGCATAAGCTTCTACAGGGATGGGCAAGTGACGTCATGTAGGTCCAGATGTTGCCATGGCAATAATGCAAATGATGCAATTTGGATGATATCATAACTCCTCTAATACCTATGGAGATTCTCAATCATGCAGATCACAGTTGTCCCAAAGACGCTTTTTCCAAAAGGCAACTGATTTTCTTGCGGTTTTTTTTCCTCGAAAACATTTTGCTTCTCATCTAAGAAGCTTCTTCAGTTCTTCTTCAGTTCAGAACTGAAAAAAGCATCTTGGATTAGAAGCAAAACGTTTTCAAGGTTAAAAAAAAAACAAGGAAGTCCAGTTGCGTTTTGGAAAAGCATCTTTGGGACATTCTCTGATATCCACGTGGTTTTTAATAGAGAACAATATTTCTAAGTCATCTGCTTGTACTATATGTTCAGCATCTAATAGCGTGTAACAACTATCATGAGAACTTTAATCTCTTTCATCTTGTAGCACAGGCAGATGTGGCACTTTCCAAAGAATGAACAAACAGGATTATGGAATTCTGGGGTCAACAGGATTTCATCCAGCAGCTCCAAGACATACCTTCTTGGAAAACTTGCGGTTGTCTTCCACAAATCTCCTCTCACGTGGAAAAAAGGTTCTAAGGCTTGCTCTTATCTGAAATAAAGCAGCAACAGCTACACAACATCAGTATTCAGAGTTCCATTTAGCATTCATTTACAAAGAAGAGCAACAAAGATGATCAGGGGACTGGAGGGTGAAAAATATAAGGAACGGTTGCTGGAATTGGGAATGTCTAATCTAATGAAGAGAAGGACAAGGGGGGACATGATATCAGCCTTCCAGTATCTCAGGGGCTGCCCCAAAGAAGAGGGAGTCAAGCTATTCTCCAAAGCACCAGAAGGCAGGACAAGAAGCAATGGATGGAAACTAACTAAGGAGAGAAGCAACCTAGAACTAAGGAGAAATTTCCTGACAGTTAGAACAATTAATCAGTGGAACAACCTGCCTCCAGAAGCGGTGAATGTTCCAACACTGGAAGTTTTTAAGAAGAGACTGGACAGCCATTTGTCTGAAATGGTATAGGGTTTCCTGCCTGAGCAGGGGGTTGGACTAGATGACCTCCAAGGTCCCTTCCAACTCTGTTATTTTAGTTTCTAGTTTCCATTCAAGCTTCAGCCCACAACAGTGACAAACGTACCCCAGGATATGTTTTGTTAATATCTAAATAGTCCACTCCAATTGAAACCTTCCTTTTTAAGCTCTTCTTCAGTCTTGGAGAAAAGATCATTATCTTTTCTTCAAGAGATAATTCAGGATGTGCCCTAGTTTATGGAATGGGCTGCAGCAGGTCTACGGCTTATGTAAACCCAATTCTGATCTCTCCCAGCAATGAAGCCACAATCAGGAGAGAGAAATGTTGATTTCTACTTTTCAGGAACCCATTTATTTATTTCAATTTATTGACCATCCAACTCCAGTGGACTCCGGGGAGTATACAGTGGAATTGAACGTCTGATCTCTAAACCACAGTTAACCTTTACAATAGTTTGCTGAAACAAGTCAGTTTCAAAAGTGGTGGGTTCATCTACTATTGAAAGACACAATTCAACCACTCAGACAGTCTCTAGAGCACTGCCATCCTCAAAACTGACAACCACCCTTCTTTGCTGGCTGAGAGTTATGGACTTTGACATCCCACTTCTAGGGTGCCATGGTGGGGAAGGATTATCATTCATCCCTTCTCCTCTAAAGACCATAGACTTACAGGATTAAACAGGACTTCTATCTCCAAGTGGACCATGCCTTTTGATGGAAGTTCCAAATCTTTATTCTTTAGCACATAGCAACTTTGTTGTCCATTTTTAATCTGTAAGTAACAAATAAAGAAAAAAATGTCAATATATAAGCTCAATGAAGAAAGCAGAACAGAGCAAGAAAGATGATTAGGGGAGCGGAAGCTAAAACATATGAAGAACAGTTGCGGGAATTGAGTATATCTAGTTTAATGAAAAGGACCAGGAGTGACATAACAGCAATGTTCCAATATTTGAGGGGCTGCCACAAAGAAGAGGGGGTCAACTTATTTTCCAAAACACCAAAAAGCAAGACAAGAAACCATGGATGGAAACTAAGCAAGGAGAGAACCAACCTAGAAATAAGGAGAAATACTCACACATACTTAGAGAAACACAATAAACACAAATAACAAAAACAAACGGATTCCTGGGGGTGCCTAGAATATAAAATATATTTTCCAGGCTCTAATTTGTTGGCTTCTGTTGTGCTAAATGAGAGGGGTTTAAAAAAAAACAAAAACAATTTCAAACCATTTGGCTCCTCAGGAAAGGTGGCTTTGGCTTTTAAAAAATACAGGAGGAAAATATACATTATACACGGTACAATAAGGACTGATTACACATTTGGTTTCTTCCTCTGTCTCGCTCCCCTCCCAACTCCGGGCCCTGCTTTTAGGATGGGAAATAACTCGATTCAAAATAATGTAACATGAAAGCTGTCACGGAATGGGTGGGGGGAGGGAAAGAATCATCTTTGGCAGAACAAAATACTCAAAGATGATTTTGAAATTGCAGCTGCATTTTAAGATGCTTTCACAAAAGCCTTGTTAAGATTTAAGAAAGGAGGTCGCTATATTCAACAGCACACAGTCCATGTGTAATGATAACCCGAGTTTATACAGTTCCATGAAAGCTAAAAAAAACGACATAGGTAATTCAGTTCATTATCAAGGAAGGCATGTTTTCATTTATTTATTCATTCATTCATCCATTCACTCACTCATTCATTCATTCATTCATTCATTCATTATATAGCCAGTCGTCTCAATCTGGGCAGCTCACATTTCAAATTGTCTGTAACTATCTATGAATCTATCTATGTATCTATGTATGTATCTATCCATCCATCTATCATCTATCTCTCTATCTATGTCTGTCTGTCTATCTATCTATCTATCTATCTATCTATCTATCTATCTATCTATCTATCATCTATGTATCTATCCATCCATCTATTATCTATCTCTCTATCTCTCCATCTCTCTATCTCTCTATGTATCTATCTCTCTATCCATGTATCTATCTCTCTATCTCTCTATCTCTCTATGTATCTATCTCTCTATGTATCTATCTCTCTATCTTTCTATCATCTATGTATCTTTCTATCTATCTATCATATACCTATCCCTCTAACTACGGTATATATCTATATATATTTGAAGTGTTGTATGTATGTATGTATATATATATATATATATACACACACACACACACACACTTCAAATGCTTCAAATATATACAATTTATTACAAAGTATATACACACACACTACAATTAAAATGACTGAAAACTTTTTAAAATAATAAAAGCACTAAAAACATTCGGATTAAATACACATAGTAGCAGGAGACCAGAACTCGTTTTGAAGTTACAAAACGTCACTGAAAAATGAGACCTATGACCATTTTTCAAACTTATGACTATTGTAGCATCTCCATCATCATGTGATCAAGAGATGCAGAAAATTAAGACCTAGTGCCTCTTTTGGAGGCAAAAAAAATATAAGACCGGGTCTTAATTTCGGGGAAACACCGTAGCTACTGTACATCCATGAAGTTACCAAAAGATCAGCTCAACTCAAAGGAATTTTTGCTTGCTTCTCTCATAATCCAAATGGAAGATAGGAAAGCTCCAACTGTCACTTGAAACAAAGCTGAAACCAACTGGAATATCCAGAGGTGAGAAATATTACCTCAATCTCAGCTCTACCAACCTCAGTACCCTTCGGATATCCCAAAATTCTCCAGCCAACACGGCCACTGAAAACTACATACCTGAAGAATGTTCAGATTACAAAAAGCTGTTCTAGTCTCTCTAATATAACAAATTAGAGGCTTGAGCAATCCTACAAGGATGTTTAGATGACTGAATACATATACATATATACAAACCTGAATATCTGGAAAAATCTAATTTTCTTCATGTAAAGACTTCCAAACGGAATATGTAAATGAAGATTCAATCAACCAGGTCAAAAGCATCTAAAAAGGTTAAATCATGGCAACTGGACCAAAGTTTATTCCAAACTGAACAAACTCTTATCCTCTAAACCAGGCTGGCTCAGGAATTCTGGGAGTTGAAGTCCACGAGTCATAAAAGAGCCAAGGTTGCCTACCCCTGGCTCTAAACAGTCCTGCAGAATATCAGAGTTCGGGCTAGACTTTCTCCAGCCTAATGGATAGATTTGCTCAGCCATTTGTACGAAACATGCAGGGTGAAATGAATGTGTGTGAATTCAGCACTACTAAGGACTACTAATGCTAAATCTATTAAGCATCAACCCTATTGACCGCTGGAGAATTTTAATGAAACGGGAAAACGTTGGAGTTCCGATACAGAACAGGGCACTAAGGAGAAAGAGCTCTTAAAGGGAAATGGCATTGCTCTCCTCTTCAAGAAAAACGACTTGGCAACTTTCCTCCCTTTACACACACACACACACACACACACACACACATGCGCGCAAGCATTTATTTACAGAAGTACATCTGGCTTCAATGCAGATGCAGCCTTTGTGGTTGAAAGCATGGCACACAACGGGTTTTTTCCACCGCAGGGTGAGATAGGCGGAGAATTAACAGCTGCAAGGAATCATGGACCATTCTCATATCTGAGCAGAAATCCATCATTTGGCCAACCCAGGAAATTGCTGTCCAAATGTTGTGTACAAGTTCTCTCCTCCCTGCCCTACCACGTTCTGGTGCTGCTTCCCGCCCCCGATTTCCTTCTGTGAGTTATCAGCCACAAGGAAATCTTTATGATGGTTAATGTAGATATCGCAGAAGAGTCAGCCAGTTTTTGAATTTTCCAAATTACTTCCTTCAACGTTAAGTAAAACAGAAGGAGGTAGAGAAAGAGGAGAGAAATGTAACATGCTCTTGAGAAAGAACTCAAAAAATTAGCATTCGCTTGCGGATTCAATGTGCATTCCAGGATTGGTCAAGTAGTTCTAGGCTTACCAGTTTAGAAAAAAAAAACTTTATTCAATGTTGGTCGGCCTCAGCAAATTATGGGATTATAATCGTAACTAAATTTCTACTTGCTAGGCACAAGGCAGTTTTTCAGTTTGAATTAAGCTTACTGGGTCAAAGAGATACAAGAAAGTACTATCAAGTTGTTTTGAAAATATGTCATCCAACTGGCAACTGTTCAGCTTTCTCTTTTAGTCTAGTAATTGTTGCTATGGTAGCACAATCTCTACCCTTTCCTTTCCTTCCTCTTTCCTCTCTCTTTCAATCTCTCCTTCCTTCCTTCCTTCCTTCCTTCCTTCCTTCCTTCCTTCCTTCCTTCCTTCCTTCTATGCTCATAAGTGATATGAAGCTCTGTCATATAATGATGCAATTATATTATTTCCATATTGCATCCAGATAATCTGATTTAGTTACGTATGGACACTTTAAAAAAAATCTAAGTCCATTCAGAATGAGGGGCTCTGCTTAACACACTAAGATTGTCATCAGATTAGATGTATGGTGGACAAAGTATGAGATTCAAAAAAAAAAAAACCTACAAACTACTTTTGGTGCCTTTATTTATTGGATTATTTATCTCCAGCATAAAGAAAACCACCAAAGCAGTAAAGCACATTCCCACTCTTTGTAATCCAAAAGTAAACTTCAATCCTTTCTTTTCACAAACAACTTTTTTCCCAATCCGGCCCCAAATGCAACAGAAGAACAAACTCAGATATGGTAGGACTGCCTTTAACTACGTGTGCTAAAAAACCTACGGAATGCAGTCCTAAAACATCTGGATCTATGCTGTAGCTCTCAGCTCCATCCCGGCAACACAAGGAAAGCCTTTTTCTCCCTCTTGTTTCAACAACCATTTGAGCACATTGTTCACTGGGGATGTGCAAAACACACCGATTCCAGATCATTCTGCTCGCAGATTGGTGAGTTTTGCACATTGCTAGTGTTTGCTTCATTTGCTAGGACCCACCAAAGCACAAATAAAGGAAGATGAGAATTGGAGCTAGTCTCAGGCAACCATCTGGCTGCCCTTGAAATATTAATTTATTTACTTATTGTATTCCTAACCCATCCACTATCCAGATTTCTCAGAGCAGATTACAAAGTGACTAGAATCATCAAAAGAGTTCGAAAAAGTCTGAAAAAAAGGAAAGATAAAAAGATTAAAGCAATGAAATCAATGCAAAACAATCAATAGCCCAAGAAGGAGAATAAACTGAAGTCTAATGTTTCAGTGTAAAAAAAGAAAAAAGAAGAAGTCCAATCTTTTACCGTTTATACACTAGTGTGATTCTCCTCCTACAATATTCAAGCATAGAACAGGAACTAAACATTAAGTTCAGTTCAACTATTAAAATTGCCTAAGAAGGAGAGGAGTGTTTTAGTTTAGCGCTAGGAAGAGAACTTATTTTTAATCTGTCTTTTCCACTTACTATAATTCTGTATTTTGTTTTTTAAATTATGTTAGCCACCTGGAGTATTCCGTAGAGGAGAAAAGCATCTATAAAGTAAGCAAAGTAATGCAGATTGTCCTCGACTTCCGAATGTAATGGGTATCAGAATTTCAGTTGCTAAGCAACGGGGTTCTTAAGCAAGACACAGGAATTCTGCAAACTTTTTTGGTGCCGTCATTAAGCGAATCGCACAATAGTAAAGAAGATCCAGTCTGCCATTTTGCTAAGCACCTAAATTTTGATAACAAACGGGGGGAGGGGGGAGGAGATGCTGCAATAGTCGCAACTATGAGGACAGGTTGTGTGTCGCTTTTTTCCAGCGCCGTCCTAACTTTCTAGAATTGCAAAACGAATGGTCATAAGTAAAAGACTTCCTGCAATTAAATAAACGCCATCCTGAATTATGCATTCAGGCCCTAGTTCTCTGGTCATCTCTAAGTTCCCTGGAGAGGTTCATCAAGCAAAAGGTATTCCTTGAGGTAATCTAGCCTCAAGCTCTTTCAGGTTTTAGCAGAGGGATAGAATGAAGATCACGTGAATTATTAGCAGCACTTTACAGAGTTATTAGCAAGACCATACTTAGAATACCTGCATCCAGTTTTGGCCACCACGTTATATAAAAAGAGGTAGAGATTCTGGAAAGAGCGCAGAAAAGGGCAGCAAAGAGGGTTAGAGGGCTGGAGACTAAAACATATGAAGAACAGTTGCATGAATTGGGTATGTTGAGTCTAAGGAAAAGAAGGACCAGGGAATGACACCATAGCAGTATCCAATATTTGAGGGGCTGCCACAAAGAGGGAGGTCAACCTATTTTCCAAAGCACCAGGAAGCAAGACAAGAAACAACGGATGGAAACTGATCAAGGAGAGAAACAACCTAGAAGGAAGGAGAAATTTCTTAAGGGTGAGAGCAATCAACCAGTGGAACAGCTTGCCTTCAAAAGTTGTGGGTGCTCCATCACTGGAGGCTTTTAAGAAGAGACTGGACAGCCATTTGTCTGAAATGGTATAGGGTCTCCTACTTGAGCAGAAGGCTGGACTAGAAGACCTCCAAGGTCCCTTCCAACTCTTATTCTGTTAAACCAAGTCTTTCAACTGAGCCCTAGAAACACCTCGCAGTATTATTTGTTCTTAACACATCTACGCAAGAGAGAGAATTAACATTCTCCTTCACTTTCTCCATGTACAGCCACATGGACGTCTCCCTCCCTCTCACAGCCCTGTTGGGGGGGGGGGAATGTGAGTGGCTCTTGACAAACGTCTATAAAATCAAGAGGAAAGGGGAGGAAATTGAGATCTAACATATCCCTGTCAAACTCACACAGCCGGCTGCCTCACACACAAGCCATTTGGCAAACACGAGCTCTCCAGGAGACCAGCTGCTCACGCTGTTCCCGTCCAGCAGCATCAGGGATATGAGGATTTGGGGAGAAATTAACAGAGTCATCAAAAATTGAATAAAAGATGTTAAGGAGTTGTTCCTTCCCTGTAAACATCAAACGGTTCGGCGCACGACGCGAGCTTTGATAACCGTTCCAAAAGAAAAAAAGGGAAAAAAAAGTCAAGCAAACATTGGAGAGCTCCAGATACGAAAGAACAGGATCAAAAAGAGCATTACATCTATATGTGCTTTTAAAAAAAAATTCAACCAAGATATTTTGGGAAAGGATTGGCCAGCCTTGAAGAACACAATCTGAAGCATCCTGTATTCATGGCTGGGGTGTGTGTGTGTGTAACACCTCAGCAAGTTTTAGACGTATAAAGCACCTCCAAATGTATCTTTAGAGGCAGCTGCTTTTGACAATAGTAAGATTTGAACAGCATTTACCTGCTTGTGCTATGGGATATCTCCTAATTTTAAAAGTATGAGTTACTCTTCAAAAGAAATTCGCGCAGCCTGCCTTAAAAACGGTTTCAAAGGATAGTCTAAAGGAAAAGAAGTGGAACTGGGGAACAAACAGCAGCTGAAAATACAGTAATAAGTTTGAAGTGGCTCAAAGGTCAAAAGGAGCATTGCTGTAAAGCTGCACGTTTTCGGATTTCTCTGAAAGCAAGTTCTCTCCAATTAAAAATAGAAAGTTTTAAAGCTATGCTAAAAGCTAGGGAAGTCGTAACTTTCCTTCAGACCACCTTGGGCAGCTGTTGCTATGGTTTAATGAAAGAGGAGGACTTGATAAAGTTCTCTGGCAAAAGGTGCTCCAAGCGTTTTCCTTACTTTAAAAAAAAAAAAAATCAGAAGTAGCCTTAAACAGAAAATGGAAGAAGAAATTGCCAACTCTGGTTCATTATCAATGTGCCTTCAGACAAGCTCTTTGGTGTCTGGAAGCTGGGCCAGGACAATTGGAGTTTATTATTTTTTGTTGGTCTGAAACATTTTGCTGCTGCTTATCCAAGTAGCTTCTTAGAACATAGAACACAGAATATAGAACAACATAGTTGGAAGGGACCTTGGGGGTCCTCTAGAACGAAGGAGAAATTTCCTTTCTTTATTATTTAGCTTTATTCATTTATAACACAAAATGTGAAAATGCCAAAGCAAATACTAGGGGACAACAGCAGAGAAAGGTAAAACAAAAAAAAAAGGTGTGAAGAGAGGGAGGGAAAGAAACAAAAGGCGTTCCCACTCTCTCTGTTGCAGTAAAATCAGATATTAAAATCAAATCTCAACTTTTCACATGTTTATAGTAGTATGCACTAGCCAGTTCTGTATCGGCAAATCTGTCTAATTGGTAAAACCCAAAACCATAATATCTTTTTTTTTCCCACCTCAAGCACAAAGGAGATATTTCCTAACAGTGAAAACCATTAACCAGTGGAACGGCTTTGCCTTTAGAAGTTGTGGGTGCTCCATCAATGGAGGTTTTTAAGAAGAGACTGGACAACCATTTGTCTGAAACGGTATAGGGTCTCCTGCCTGAGCAGGGGGTTGGACTAGATGACCTCCAAGGTCCCTTCCAGCTCTGTTATTCTGTATTCTGTGTTCTTCACTGGGACAGTACTCTGGAACAGCTTTGCAGCTGTATTAAATGATGCAACCATGAGAAGGACAACAGGGTTCGAATAAGATGCAATCACAGAAAGCAAAGCAAACATCCCATCCGAAAACCTAACCAAGAAGTCCAAAGGGCCCAGATTTGACCCACAGCACACAATGCATTTGAACTGCCCCCAGTTCCCTCGAAATGCTACATCTGCTCTTAATCTAAACTTGACAACAAATACTGAAAGTGCCTAGAAAACAAGCTCTACTAATTAAGGCTTACTCAAAGTACCCCGGAGAAAAAGAGTGTGCATGTTTGCATGCCCGTTCAACACACCCAACAGTGAAGTATGCAAGAGAGTAAATGGACAAGGTACAGAAAAGTTTCTTTCTAAAGGAAATCCGGCTGCTTAGTGATTGAATCAAACCAGTGCCGTTATTCCTGTCTTCCTTGTACACACCGAGAACATGATTGAAAGCGAACCCTAAGTGCAACGTACAGAATTATCGCACTGCGGACATCAAGACAAGGCTATTTTTCTTTCTGTCCACATGGTTGCAGGAGGATAAGAATGCAGCCCTGTCCCATGGAGGCCATTAAGGCTGAGCTGAAGCAGGGAGCCAAAGGAGAGAGAAAAATAACTTACCGACAGCAAAGGGATGGCAACTTTTCCAAGAAAGTCAGGAGGTTTATCTCCATCTTCGTCAAACACCATGACTTCCAGGACCTCGTGAATGTCTTTAACAGGGCTGGAAAGAGAGGGGCAGAATTAGGAATTTACATTCGTTCTGTCTGTCACCAGAAACAACCTAAGGATATGCATTTGGCCGTTAAGCTGCCATCGCTCTGAGGTGTTAAACTTGTATGTAGAGTAAATGCAATTCGTCTACAGACCAGTTTAACACCTCAAATTCATCCCCCTCCTTCCCACAGATCCAATCAAATTAGTTTTATTTCTGCATATCACAGGAATGAAGGCAACCTGGGAGATCATCTAGTGACTCATCTCCCGGATCGCCGTTAAATCTGCAACACAAACTTTCACTCCAGCAAGGTCTCCCAAACTTGTTCTGCCTGTTAGGACTATACTGTTGCCTTTCAGATATGTTAGGGCTATAATCCCCTTGCCAGGGGAGGGGTGAACTTTAAAATCATAGTCCCAACACGTGTGGAAGATAATTTTACAGAAAGCTGTGTTACCATAAACCCTGTAGTCATCGACCCAATACTGGGTTTAGTGCTTTAAATGAAGCGGTCCATTTTACTTCAGATGATCTGCGCCACTCCCACATTCCTAGTGTCCTATGAGTCCCACCACTGCTTACAGCCTCTCTACTTTTGGGGTTCGTGCTGTTCCTTGCAAACCTTCTCCTCTGAGTCTTCTTTCAAGAGGGCCGCTTACTACTCAACTAAATACTTTTAATTCTTCCCAATAACTTGAGCATTCTTTTTTCCAACATTTCTTCCAAGAGATACAAGCCTGCACTTGCCATAGATCATGGAATCAATGAGTTGGAAGAATGGCCATTTAGCCATCAAGCTCTACCTCTTCTCAGTGGATCATGTTGTCCTCTGAAAGAAAATTCTAGCAGCAAATAGCCAACAGGTCACTGAGAACGTACTACCTCTCTAGATGATTCTACAACCTTCTCTGCTAAAGGTTTCCCTGACTGCCTTACTAATTGCTCACATTTATATTATCTGGGTTCGACACTGAGTGTGCAAAGAAGCATCTTGAAGTAATTAACCCAGTTTAGTTTAAGAATAGTGAAGAATAAAACTATTAAGATGATAAACATAACAAATTCTAGACCAATAAAGGAGAAATTTTGTGTAGCTGAGGACTGAAATAAGCTGCTGTCTGAGCTTAGTGATTTTCTAGCAGACATTTCATTACCCAAACTAGGTAACACCATACCTAGTTTAAATATAATATAAAGCATTGCCTTTGGTTTGAAAGTGCAGAAACTCTACAGAAGGTATGTCCTAGGCTCAATAATACAATTTGGTATGTTTGGTTTATACTTTGAAAGTCCCCCCGCCTCCTTTCCCAAAATTGGTTCCCACGAGATGGGCTACCTCTCTTGGCAAGTCTTACAATTATTCCGGCCATACCCTAGTATCGGGTGGTTTTGTTGCAAATCCACTTACAAAGTAAAGACCTGATTCCATTCTGGGTTGAGGTTTTTGTAAACGGTGTAACTCTGAAGTCTGCTGTTCCCTAATTCCAGGACACAGAAGGGATCACTTTTGCCTACAGAAACAAACCAAAACAAACCAGAACTTGATCAAGGAAAAGAAGCTTGCCAATATTCTGCTTAGCTTCTTGATAAGACTCCCCTCTTTGTTTCAGACCCCCCTTTATGGAATGGCATTTATGTGAGATTCGAGTCATGCTGAACAAAGTGAAAGAAAAAAACCCGAATATATACCTGAAAAATCTGCAGCTAACAGATCAACAGCTTTTAAAAGTTTGACTTGTAAAAAACCAATATCCTTCACGTTTTGGAAAGAGTTCCTTAAACTCTGAAAAGAAAATCATTGTTAGAAAAATAAATGTCTGGTCTTCTGATGCTTTGGAAAATAGGTTGACCCCCTCCTCTCTGTGACAGCCCCTCAAATATTGGAAGACTGCTATCATGTCTCCCCTGGTCCTTCTCTTCACTAGACTAGCCATACCCAGATGATGGATGGATGGAGAGAAAGAAAGATTTGTGTTTGTTTGTGTGTGAGAGAGAGGGGGGGGGGGAATAACAGGCTAATCCTAACTCTATATGTACTGGAATAGAGTTTATAGACTTGCCCTTTGGCTGAAAACAATATTTTGTGTTCAAAGAACTCTATGCTCTTTTGGCTTTCATTTTCACTACCCTTTACTCCGAAAATGTGTAAGGTTCACATCTTTGTTACTATACAACTTGTGGCAAGCAACCCAGAAGTACTTGCCTACTACCTTCTTTCTATGTGGTCTAGCCCCCCCCCCCCAGCACAAGGATTCCCAGGAATGTCCCATCTATCTTTGGTCCTGCTAGGTTCCTGAGAACATTCAAGATCAGCTTTGCATTTGGGTTGGCAAAAAACGGCTGCCAGGTGCCCCTTTTGTACACACACAAAAATATAAGGCCTCGATCGCAATGCAATGTCTACCCTATTGACTCTGCCTTTGTGGGTATCCCTGCTTAAGGAGAAAGGGGAGAGGAAAATATAACCATCCAGACTCACATAACGCTGGAAAATCTGTTTTCTTTCATTGGGGTCTCCCAGGGGACACACACACAAATCAGAGATAGACACCCCTAAGCAAGGTGCAATGGAGATCACCATCACCAAGAAACCAGGCTGCTTCTCCAGAGGCAGTTCCAAACGGTTGGCTTGTTTGTCAGAGAGTCCCCCAACATCGACTCTGCATCTGAACCATTGGAAGGCAAAAGAAAACACAATTACTTCGTACCTTCTGTGGGAAGTCAGCTCCCCAGAGAAGGAAATATTAAAAGGGCCGAAAAATATGTTTCCTAAAAAGGTATTGAAGAACCAGAAAACCATGCCCAGTTTGCTTAATAGCCCCAGCTCTCCCTCCCCCAAGCTCTGCACAAATGCAGATGTAAACCATCAGGAAAGTTGGAGCTAGAAGCTTAGGAAGACAAAGACACCTAAAATCTGCATACCCTACCCAAACTCCAAGAGTCATTAGCCCCAGCACCAGGAAAGCAGGATATGACCCTTAGGACATAATAGGATTAACTCACAGATGCCAAAGGGACACAGGTCAAAATACATGACACAGGAAATACAAAGCCTCAAACAGGAACAGGAAATAACCTCCAAACAAAAGGCTCCAGAGGGTTAAAAAACCCCACTCCCTACATGTGCTGAGTCCTTTTTTCCTCTTCTCTGCCAGAACCATCTTTCTGTCTGGCTCTCCTCTCCGATAAACTGCAATCTTCTTTCTAAAGCAGTCGCTTATCCCCGGCTTGGATGAACTACAATGAAGACTTTTCTTCCAACACTTCCATCACTTGGAGCAGGAATCTTCAAACTTGGCCCTCTTATGACTTGTGGATGTCAACAAGTCATAAAAGGGCCAGGTTTGAAGACCCCTGAGTTAGAGTCATCCTCTGTACAAAGTGCTGAGTGCTGTACAATGTTCAACCTCGGATAGAGGGCTGAGAATTTATAAGGTCCCCTGAAATCCTTCAAAAGACAGCTACAACTTTCCCACTTCCCACTTCAAAGGACTCAACTAATCTTCCTTCCTGCCCCCAAATTACTAGCTCCTTTAATGCCTATGGAGACCCTCAATCATCCGGGTCATGGTTGTCTCAAAAGTGCTTTTTCCAAAAGGCAACTGGACTTTCTTGTTTTGTTTTCTTTTCTTAAAAACGTTTTGCTTCTCATCCAAGGAACTTCATCAGTTCTGAAGAACCGAACAGAAGAAGCTTTTTGGATGAGAAGCGAAACATTTTCAAGGGAAAAAAGAAAAAAGGAAGTCCAGTTGCCTTCTGGAAAAGCATCTTTGGGATAGTTCCTTTAATCTATGTACCCAAAACATTTATTGGAGAAAAATGCACCCTTGAATAAAGTGTAAGTGTTCCAGAAAGTGGTGGTCAGGAAGAGCTAGAGACATTTAAAGACAGGGTTCCTAATCAGGAACATAGTAAGAATAAAATTGGGGAAGTTTCTCATGCAAAGAACAATATTTTCTTGTACTAAAAACAAATAACCAATCAAGAGAACTGACATTCAGTATTACATCTACTGGGGAATCTGCATATAAACTTCCAAGAAACATTGTGTCTGAAAATGGATGCACTGTGTTTAAATAGACCTTTTAAAAACATTTAAAAACTGATGGGCCTTAACACTGATGCAGGTGATCAAGGAGGACCTCATTTTGGAAATGGGGCAGCACCCCCAGGAGAAGGTCTAAGTGGGTCACCACCTATCTCAGTTTTCATGATGATGCACTCCAGAGAATTGCTTCCAGAAAGCAGCATTTGCCATTTTAGGGAGAAAAAACTGCATTTCTTTTTAAAGATAGCAGCAAAAAAAACAAAGAAGTTTTCAAAAGCAGATGAAAGGAAGGGAAGGGAGGAAGGGGGGGGGGAATCCTTCCTCAGATTTGCAGCAGTGAGAAGACCAGTGGTGTGAGCATTCAAAGCTCATTTATTTGGAAGCAAATGGAGCACAACTTCCAAGGAACTTTGCAGATTTCAGCTCTTATAAAAGATAAATACTTGCAGCTTCAGATAGATCCCTGCCGGCTAGTCACAGAAGTCAAGTTTCTGGATGGTGAGAGAGAAATTGGAAGAGATTCTGACAGCTGAAGGCCTGTTGAAAGGCTTTTATTTAAAGCAAGAACCTGTTAAGGTGTTGCCTAATTAGAAGGAGAAGGAGGAGAAACAGGAGGATCATCTCCTGGGGGGCTTCTGCTGGAAATGGAACATGCGTTAGTCCCAGATAGATCCTAGAGCCTGAACACTTGGTGTCCATCTGCCAAGATCTACAAAAACTTTCCATTTCTAAATAGCTGGTTTTGGAGAAGAAAGGAAGGTGGTACGAAACCCAGAGGTTTCAGCGATCTCCTTGAAAAAACTTCTGAACGCTTCATTTTTAATAGGCTTTGGCCAAGAGAATGAAGCACCTCAATATAAGAATCATTTCTTCATGGCCAACCATGAGCATTCCATCTTCCTCTCTTGAAACCTTGCACTCAACTGCATGGTCCATTAGAGACACACAAAATATATCAGAAATGTACTAACTCAACTTGGTGCAATGTTGCTGCTTACACAGCTGGTAATTTAAAGTAAACACGATGAAGAAGGAATGAAAGAACTGAAGTGGTCAGTATTACGAGATTCTTCTAGGCGGATATGAATATGAAAGTAACACATTGGTTGTGACACTTGAACGTTACGCGATCTCAATATCTTTTGGGGGATCATGGTGACCAAACTGGACACAGAATTTGAAGTGTGGTCATACCAGTGCAGAGTAAGTCATTAAACCACACGAGTACGCAGGTCTTCCAATGAGAGATGGAGACTAGATTAGAAATAATTAAGAGTGGTGAAAGACCTACAATAGAGGCTTTCAAACTATTCTTTGAAGCTTCCACTTTCTCTCTCTGTTTTACACATCCAGTGAAGTACAATATATATATACATTGCTTACTGGTATACACCGCTTAGAGAGTGCTTGCATTTAAAGCGGTATATAAGTCTCATAAATAAATAAATAAATATCAGGAATCCCTGATTTCATTCATACCATTTTCTTATGAGTCTCACTGCCTAATTACTGGTATGCTTGAGTTTATCTTTTTATTTACTTGATTGCACAGCTTAGCTAAGGAACTGTTAACTATAGTCTACATTGGTGGCCAAACAATTCCAGGGTACGGATCCATGGAAAGCATATCAGGATATGGCCATATTTAAACCCCCGACTAATTGAATTGAACTGATTCAGAAAGAGGAGGAGGAAGGGGGGGAGAAGGACTTTGCTAAGAGCCAAACACATCTTGATGTTAATGTACAATCAAGCTGTTTAATTCCTTGGAGTCTAATTGTTTGCACAGTGATTATTTCTCCTTGTCTAAGCAATAGGACCATCCTTTCCCTTTCTTTCTATCGGGTGAGGATCCAATAGAAGGCAAGGGAATCCAGCAGCAGCTGTTCAAAATGAGGACCAGAGCACACCATAAACCCGCCATGGTCATGCTTTCAAAACGGTTTCCCCATGACGAGAGACTCCCGCCCCAGTTCTAACTGTTTGCAGCTATTTAACACCAGAATTGCTGCAACCATATTGTGTTTTGCCAGACCTCTGCTGGTAATAAGTCAGCCATATAGAACGGGAGGAGTGGGAAGAGGGAAAAAATCTCATAAAGCTTAAGGAGGCAATCCATTCAGGAACCCGGAGGAGACATCACAGAGAAGTCAAAGGGGCAATCATTCGTAGTGGGAGTCGCCCCTTGCAAAGGAGGGGGGGCTGAGGAGTTTGTAGCACCACCATCCTCGGTTGTTCCTGCACAATTGAGAAAAGTTCTCATGCTCAGAAATTCTGCATTTGTTATCACTTCCTGTTCCGTTTAACGAAAGAGATGTTTCTCTTAGCGTTCACTAGAATTTCAGTAAAGTTCTAATGGGCAGTGATAGAAGTTCAAAGTCTTTTGATCTTCTCTCCCCTCCTTTTAGCACCTCACTGGTTCCATGGGGAGGCAGGAATCCTCCCAAGATAAAAGGAGACACCAGAGGTGGAATCTACATATCTGAGGACCATCTTCCTTTCTGGATTTCATACGCACCTCAGCACCAAAGCCCAGGGCAGGAACATCCCAATTTGCACATCTGCACTGGAAGGACACATGCTAAAAGCAGCATGTATACAAACCATGCCTCTGAGCTCACACCAAGGACCAGTCCCTCTATAAAACCAACTCTCTGGAGCCCGTTTTCTCTGTAGCTACCCCAAAAAGAAATCTCTTTGTTCTTGGGAATAAAATGAATCTCCTTTATCACAGTACGTCTGCATTTCATTTTTTATTTCTTCTTGCACCAGCCCGGCTCATGGTACCCCCAAATTATTCTTCTAGCAGCAGATTGTGATATCCCCGCACATAGTTTGCGGTGGGGTTGTTGAAGGATTTGCATGAATACTCTTCTATCATTCTATCTCCAGGAGTTTTCAGCCTGCATGGCTTCCCACATTAAACCTCAAAGATTCTTAGATAGGGAACACCTCCGGTGGATCCTGCTCACAACAACTACCAAACGGAATGAAAAAAAAAAATCCTGCCTTTAATAAACTGTTGAAGAATTTCTCCCCCTGTAAAGGAAAGTGGAGAAGTTGTCCACCAATTTGCTGTGTCCACTCGTGAAGAATATGAAAGGGCCTTTTCTTTCCAGTTCTAATTCGGTCTAGCCTTTATTGGTCTGAGTTGCTTTAAATGTTTGGACTACAAGGATTTTTGTCTCCAACCATTGCTTCTGCCAGTAGGACTGATCAACACTGCTATCCCAACCCACCTCTTCTGCTAAAGAACTGCTGGAATGGAAGGAAATGGAAGTCCCATAAAAGTATCTTCCTGTTTTTTGTTGTTGTTTTTTTGTTTTCCAGGCCACACAAAATTAAACTCTGGCATCTGCTGCTAGCAGAGATGGAGACACCACTGTTGAAGAGACTGAAGAGCATCATGGAGGATCAATGACTATTTTGATAACTAGTTTTCTCAAGCATAGAAGAATACCAAAAGTTGCTAGAGAAGACTTGGTGGAAGAGGACAACCATGTTTCTGCCCAAATTGGGAAGCTCTTTGGTTGCGTCTGGATTGTATCACTGTAGCTCACAGAATTTTGGAAGTAGCCCTTCCAAAATACAGGATTCTGCATAATTAGACACCCTGTGAGCTCGGTTCCTGTTATTGACCTGCACAGTGCTTGAATGAGACTTTGAGAAGCTCCAATTCCCAGGTTCTTGTTGGAAAAACCGCAACAATTAAAATGTTACACAACAGAGAGTGTATCAACAGAGCTATCCAGAAAGCCGCATCCCACATTGTCTTCCAAAGCTTCCCAAAATACGTTTAATAGTTAATAAGACAACTTACATTCCCAGAATCTCTTCATGCTTTTTGTTATCTTTCCCCCAGATCTCAATTTCCAATACATCCTTCCTGTCAGAGAAGTAGTGAAAATCAAACTGTTCCCTCCACTGTGGATTTGCACTCTTACACAGGGTCTAGAAAACATAGAGTGATAAAGATTTATCATTCTTTCGAAAGATTGCAGGTTTTAAAAAATGTACCCCACCAAAAAAAGGGAGGCAGACTTTAAGAACAACAAGTATGAAAAAGGAACAGCTGTCTTCTGCAACACAGCAGGGAACTGAGGGGGGGAGAACACTTTTTTATATTACATGTGGGAGAATTTAAACTTCTGACATCGAAACCAAAGGGCCACGCAAACGTGCATAGCCAGGGAACCAGCAAGTTGCTGCACAAGGCAGAGAGAGCTGGGGCTATGCTTGTTTTCATTCCATTAAATCCAAATGAATTTAATATGGTTATTGTAATTACCCCATTAAACACAAAGGTGTTGGGGGACGGCTTGAAGCACGATGGGTATTACCGCCATTGGGGACTGTCTGTTTGGATTAGAAAAGCCGGAGAGGGGATAGGAAGTCACAAAAGCTTATTTGTCAATAAACAAGAGAGTTGGTAATTCTCGGTTTTGCTTATTTTCTGATTTCAGCATTTTGTGCATGTAGGTGTCCTTTCAAAGCCCAGAATTCTTGGCAGGAACCATGCTGGATGGGGAGTTCTCGGAATTGAAATGGACTCACCTGGAAGGTGGTTCAGCTGAGATGGAGAAACATTATTCTCTACATGGAGAAAGACTCCAGTTTATTACATAATACAAATCTGTATATTAAATTATAGTTCAGGAAAGACTGACTTTCTGATGATCAGACTTGCTTCAAATCACACTGGTTGCTGGCACACACACTTATCAACCCTACTTACCTTGCTTTTGAATTTTTCCTGGCCCATTTTCAACAGAACTAAGAGGTGGGTCATGTTCCCCATGGGGATATTCCTTCCTTCCAGTAAAGCCACAGTAACTGTTCCATTCCACAGCTGGTTTTTTTGCAGTGTGTCTACCAATCTGCTGGTTCTCAAGAAACTTGCCTAAAATTGAAAAAAAAAAAAGAAATACAATTTGGGAAGCTAAAAGCAGGAATATGTCAACGAAGACTCAAACAACCAGGCCAAAGGGATCTAAAGGTTGGATTATGGCAGTGTTTCTCAACCTTGACAATTTTAAGGCATGTGGACTTCAACTCCCAGAATTCCACAGCCAGCATTGCTGGCTGTGGAATTCTGGGAGTTGAAGTCCACATGCCTTAAAATTGTCAAGGTTGAGAAACACTGGATTATGGCAACGGGATCAAACTGAAAGCAGGAATTTACAGCCTCACCAAGAGGGACAACCAAATTATTCTATTTGCACCCTGTGATATTTCTCCACACACTCGTGGACAAACTGTTCCACTCAGTTTCTGCATTTATTGACATATTTAAAGGGGAAAAAAAACATAAAAAGGTACATTTGTTTTGTCTCTAGACTTGATTGTTCTCCAGGACGTTCCCTCAGGTGTGAGGTTTAGAGGTCAGGAGTGCCCATCCTCATGAGTTTGTTCTTCCTGGTGTGCCCTTGGCTGTCATTATTCTTATGATTGCACTTGGTTGGTTTTAATCTTGTGTACGCTACAGGTCACAATTGTGAGATGGGTGACGACATAAATTGATGACGTAAATATATGCATTTTCTTTTAAAAATACTCTGAAGGACTAGGTGTTCCACAGCATCTTCCCAACATCTCAAAGCTGACCACTGCCCCCCTCCACCAACTGAGAATCTGGTATAAAATATATACAGGTAGCCCTCGATTTACGACAGCTCATTTAGGGTCCGTTCAAAAAAAGTGACTTACGATCGTTTTTCACATTTACAACTGCTGCAGCCTTCGCATGTTCACATGATCAAAACTCAGATGACCAGCAATTGACTCATACTTACGACAATCGGGGTGTCAAGTGATGCCCTTTGGAGACCTTCTGACAAGCAAAGTCAGTGGGGGAAGCCGAATTTACTTCACAGCCGCTCGACTAATTTAACAACTGAAGTTATTTATCTCTATGTGCCTGTTGACTGCGGATATCCCCGCTTCCAGGAATTCAGTGATGGCGAACCTTTTAGAGACCGAGTGCCCAAACTGCAACTCAAAACCCACTTACGTATTGTCGGGTGGCCCATTGGGTGGGTGTGGCCAGTTGGGTGGGTGTGGCCCATTGGGTGGGCGTGGCTGTGGTAGTAACGGCAGACTGGGTGGGACTAAAAAGTTCAATCAATCAATTCCAACTTTGCGAGATCTTTTTTTTTTCCCACGAGAAATTGAAATTGATTGATTGATTGAACCTTTGGGGGTTTTTTGCACACGGCGGCAGAGGCCTAAAGCGAAAAGGTTTTATAAAACCCAGCTGAAGGCCTAGGACTGGGGCGACAGCGCGCATGCCCATAGAGAGGGCTCTGAGTGCCACCTAGGTTCACCACCACGGGTATAGGGTTTTTGGACTTGGCTTGATCTGGAAGGGAATTTCTTGCTAAGCTCCTTAGTAACCCCTCCCTTCAAAAGCATCCTTCCTTGTTTTCTTTCTGAAAACAAGGTAGTTTCTCCCTACCTTAGAATTATTTGCCAACTCTCCCACTTCAAGCTCCTTTTTGCAGTAGCTTCTCCTGCCCTGCAATCCCGCTTATCGCTGCTCTGAGACTGAACCCCTTCTTATTAACAGGAAGATACTCGGAGGAGTAGCTCCAAATAGAGGCCAGTCCATTTATTTATTTACAGAGCTGATAGGCCACTCCAATCCACCAACACCGAACAGTCTACAATCCTCCGATGTATAATTGGTTTTAAACCATATAGTGGGTGTGTAAACAACAACAATTACTACATAATGTTCTTATGGAGCTGGGAATCGCGAATGAAAGCATTAACAATAAAAGACTCAATCTCGTCACCCAAGAGGAAGTGACAACAAAGCAATCATCCTGATTTGATGGAACCACCAGGTTTTCAACAATTCCTCAAAAGGCAGGAGGGAAACGTGTGATCACACGTAGGGGGAGATCACGATTTCAGAAGATGGAAGCAGGAACTGAGAAGGTACACTTATGTGTCAGTTCTCTAATCTTGCAGATAGATGTTACTGGGGGAAAGAGGTCACTGAGATAGCCAAAAAATGAAAGGCTTAAAGGTGACAAGAAATACCTTGAATTGCACCTAGAAGCCAACTGGCAGCCAATGCAGCTGTTCATGCAGAAGTGATATGCCAGTGCCTTGAAATCCCCCCCCCCAATTGCTTGAGCCACTCCAGTTGAAGCTTCCAAATGATCTTCAAGGGCAGCCCCTTGTAGAGCATATAGCAATAGTCCAACTGAGAAAGGACTAAGAGAGATGATCAAACAGCCAAATCTGGAACCCTATACCATTTCAGACAAATGGTTGTCCAATCTCTTCTTAAAAACCTCCAGCATTGGAACACCCACAACTTCTAGAAGCAAGCTGTTCCACTGATAAATTGTTCTCACAGTCAATACATTTCTCCTTAGTTCTAGCTTGGTTTTCTTCTGGATTAGTTTCCATCCATTGCTGCCTTCTGGTACTTTGGGAGAATAAGTTGACCCCCTCTGCCTTGTGGAAGTACCTCAAATATGGGAATCAATGTCACCCCTAGCCCTTCTTTTTATTAAACTAGACATACCCAATTCCTGCAGCATATAAAGAAGACCATTTGACTTGCCTTAAACAGGGGATAAATATTCCCAGTTTTGCAAAGAAAATTTGATTGTGCTTCAGAAATAAAGTAGCAACTTACTTTCTTTTGTGGATATTTATTTATTTATATATATTTATTCTCTCTCTCCCTCTCCCTCTCTCTCTCTCTCTCTCTCCCTCCCTCCCTCCCTCTCTTGTACACCCATTCTCATGAACATACTTCAAAGCTCTGACAGATCTTTTTTCTCCCTTGCAGCAGAAAATTCTCCTTTGAGGTGGGAGGGGGAGAAAAAAAGAGGGGAGGGGGGGAGAGAAGAGGACAAAAAAAAAAAAAGAAATGTCAGCAAAAGGTCAAAGGTCCAAGCTGCAACCGGCCAATTGCCTAACGGAAAAGTCTGCATTTCCGTGAAATATGTTCTAAAATAATTGTATGGCTTGGTGGGTCCTAATTTCTTTCTTTCTTTCTTTTTTTAAATGGATTGTTTGTCTTGGAAAGTGCTCTTCCATAACTTGTCCATAAAAACAGGCCCACTCAAAGCTCTGGGAGGGTCCATGAAAATGGAATCTAAGGCTGGTCATTAAAAAGGACCGGGAGATTGCTTCCATATGGCCAGACAGCAGGGGAGTGAAAGGGCCAACGTCTGCAGCCGGCCACATTTGGCTAGAAACTCCTAGTCTTTCCATGGACACTCGTTGCATTACAGAAGAACATCTGGATTATTGCTTGTAATATCCCTGGGAAATATCCACTTCCCATCAAAGGCCTTTATCTATCTCCGCTGCACTTTGAACATTTCAGCGCATAAGGCAGCTGGGTTTGATGCAGCACTTGCTGCCTTTCAATCCAAAGCAATTCCTCCCAGTGTTTTTGAACACACAAGCTCATCTCCCTAGGATTTTTATTATTATTATTATTATTATCTCCCTCCTTGTTCTGCCGGTGGGGGAAGGAGATTTTTGAAGAAAGTTCCCAGAAAGGCATACCAGACACCCCACACTTTGGATGCTATTTTTCTTTTTCCTTGAAAGACTCAAGTGTGTCACAGGAATGAAATACTCGGAGGAGGAGAAAGGGAAAAAAAGAAGAGCACCGGGAGGAGAAGAGAAAACATTTTTGGGTTTAAATCAAAAGCAGTTTCCCTAGCCAGAACCGTAGGCTCCGAAACACATTGTAGACAACGGCCTTTATTTATTAAGCTGATGCAAACTCATGGAATAGCAGGCAGACGTTGGAAGATCCCCAGATTCTATTATGAAATAAGCTGGTAAAGCAGAAATGAATCTTCCCACCTCACAGGCGAGGTGGGAAGAGACAGCTAGAGAGTTGAGGTGGTGCCTGGGATTGGTGGTGGAAGAGGCAAGCAGCTGATCTATTTCTGAAAATAAAAAAGCCCAGCGGTTGGTCAGAACTGTCTCCATTCTAGAAGGAAGATGTAGATTTATCTGTCTAGTCATCTCTCTAGTCATCTATCTATCTATCTATCTATCTATCTATCTATCTATCTATTTATCTATCTGTATCATCTCTCTATTTCTATTTATCTTTCTATTTCTCTCTCTCTCTATTTCTCTATCTCTTTCTATCTTATCTCTCTCTCTCTCATCTATCTTATCTATCTTATCTATCTATCCACCTATCCATCCATCTTATCTATCTATCTATCTATCTATCTATCTATCTATCTTATCTTTCTCTTATCTATCTATCTATCTATCTATCTATCTATCTATCTATCTATCTAATCTTTCTATCTAATCTATCTATCCACCTATCTTATCTTTCTCTTATCTTTCTTTCTTTCTTTCTATCTATCTATCTATCCATCCATCCATCTTATCTATCTTATCTGTCTTATCTATCTATCTATCCATCTTATCTTTCTATCTTATCTATCCCTCTATCTATTTTTCATATTTCTAAACTGCCCCAAAGAGGAACTCTGGATGATATAAAACATGATATAACCAATAAATAAAACAATGTCCTTGAATTACAACAGTTCATTTAGTGACCATTTGAAGTTACAAAGGCACTGAATGGTTTTTCACACTTATGACCATTGCGGCATCCTCGTGGTCATGTGATTAAAATCCAGGCACTGGCTCGTTTTTATGACCTTCTGACAAGCAAAGACAATGGGAAGCCATGCCAGAGTATCCAAGCTATTCATTTGGCCAAGCCCTATAGATGACCCTCAATAACTGGAAAACAATAAGTTTTGAACAAACTGTTGGGGTTCTGCAGGAATTGAGTTTAAATTTTGGAAGAATTTTATGCCTTCAGTGTGTCCTAACGGAACTTGCAGATGGCAAAAACTCTCTATCCAAACTTGGGCCCTCTGTTGTGCTTTGCTTAGATGTTTTCAAAACACTCAAATGCAAAACTTGTGATGTATTAAGACGCTGCCACAGCGAAAGCTGCACAAACAAAGAGGAAGACGTCTTTCAAATGCCTGTCCTTTAAAAGATGTGACAAGGGGACAAAAAGACCTGTAAAGAGGTCAAATCAGCACCACAACTTCAAAGCAAAATGGTTTGCGGCTCTCGTTGGATTCCTCTCCCCTCCCCTAGCTCTGCTCATTAGGCAGGATAGCCATTCTGAAGAAGCATTTTTCCCATAGGGAAAAAAAATTAGACAAATGAAAGGAGGCAGGTGAACTCTCATGCAATAGAATTCCATAGTTGTTTAAAATGTTTCAACAGGACAATAGCCCAAAGCGGAATTCTGGAGATGGACAAATAAAAATAAGAAAGCCAGTGAGATGGGGCGGGATGCACCAATGGAGGTGTGCGTGCATGCACACATAAACAGAAAGGAGTTGGGCTTTCTTCTTTTGCCTTGCTTCAACTTATATTCGTTTCTCGGCCAATTTATCCAATTATTTGGACACCAAGGTGGCAATCAATTTGGTTTGGCTTCTGCACACGTTGAACGGGAAGGAGAAAAGACGAGAAGTCCACATCCCTAAAGCAAAAACGCCTCTCCCACTTGGTGCCCATTGAGTGCGCAAAGCATGCCCCATGCTGCAAAGGTTTCCAGCACTTACACAAAGCAAATCTGAGATCAGACGCTCTAATGAAGCTATTGGCAACTGCCTCTTGCATGCAAAATCTCCAAGGAAAACCACTGGCCCAGAAAGCAGCAAATCTATTTCTGCTTTCCTTTCCTTCCATCTTCCACGAATTTCATAACAGAAGCAAACCTATTACTGTCCCACCCGCAGTCAGACCTAGCTAAAACTCAGAAGGGAATGGGGAAAACTAAAAGTTAATTAAATGTTTACCCAGGATCGTCAGTTTATGCAACGATAAGAGAAAATATAAATTGTTCTATGCCACCAGAGTCACTTGGTTTGAGAAAGAGGCATCTATATAAATTTAAAAAATAAATTAATAATCCAAACAGTAATAGTTGATTCTTAACAGATGAACAACAACAAAAAACATTTCCTGAGCATTAATAGATTATATAAGAAAAAAAAATTAGCTGCTAGAACAGGGAATCCCCATTTCTTTCAGTTGGTGCCCCCATTTGATGGTTTGGGAGCATACCCAGAGCATGCAAAAAATAAGACTGTCATGGGAAGGAAGGTTACCACTTTTGGATACAAACTGATATTCTCTTAAAATCTCAAGACAATCCTATGCTAAGTGTTCACAATTATGATTTTCTAAAAGGATAAACACACTTCCAAACAAAATTCTGAACTTCAGGCATAGACCATTTCTATTTTCTGTGAAGTCACATAAAATGTAAGGCCGCACTTTGCAGTATTTAACATCCCTTTTGATGTTTAAAATGATCATTTTTAAAATATTTATTTCTAGGAATGCCAGTGTAATTTTTTACCCAAGATAATCTTAAGATAACCAAGACTTTTAAAGTAAACAGCAGACAAATCCACATTCTTATAACATTATGAGTTCTGGATCTATTTAATTCTGAGGGAAGTTGTTTTTAAACCATTTGCTTTAAAAACTTTCAAGCTAATTAAACCATTAAAAGTTCAAGTTGTATCGAGAAAATTAAAAATAAAATAAAATGGAACCACAAGTCTTGAGGAATACCAACAAACGATGCTCATAAGGTCATCGAAGGTGCCTGGACAACCCAAGGCCATTGAAATTCTTCCTCTTATTTTATGACTTATAGAGCATTGATTAATAGTGCTGTTGATATTCACATATCATGTGGATCTAAAAACAATCTATGTTTTCAACATGATATAACATAATTCAGTTATTTAAAACAATTAATGAAATTATAACCTAGTTCCATGATGCTTGAAAATACGGTTGCATGTGAGGTTTTAAAAAAACGCTACATGCATGGGAGGAAAAAAAAAACCCAAAACTTGCAGTGCCTGAACATGGAGCCAATTCCTATACCTCATACCTGCAACCAGCGGGGGAAATACACAAGCTGGCTGTGGCTGATGGACCTTGTAGTCTAAGCCCACGAAGACAATGCCAAATGAAGGAATGTTGCTCAGGTCATTGCTTTTTCCATAGCCCCTCACGACTCCCCAAAACACATTTTTTTTCTCCCAGCTCTCTTTTATTTTTCCTTTGTTGACTTTATGATCCATTACAAAAAGAAAAAAAAAATGAAGAGGAGAAAAAAAATGGGATGAAAGAAGAAAGCAAGCAAGTGTCAGCACTGTTTCCCCAGCTCGGTGTTCCCTAACTAAAGATAGTTATTGATGTACAGTGTGGGCCTTTTACTGTGGCAGCAGAATCAATAAAGAAGGAAATACTGCTTTGTCAAGAGTAGCCCAAGTAGGCTTGCTGGGAAATTCTTTTCTGATTCTCCAATGGCCACACAAGAGATGCTTAAAAACATCCTTCTCTATATCCAATGATAACTTGGGCACCATGTGCTGAAACCTGCCTGCCCTCTAGTGGCAGCAGCACACAAGGACAAAAGCTTCTACAGGGGTTTTTTTTTCCCCTTCCTTATTAGGTTGTTTTAACCATTCAATGGAAGAAAGAAAGAAAGAAAGAAAGAAAGAAAGAAAGAAAGAAAGAAAGAAAGAAAGAAAGAAAGAAAGAAAGAAAGAAAGAAAGAAAGAAAGAAAGAAAGAAAGAAAGAAAGAAAGAAAGAAAGAAAGAAAGAAAGAAAGAAAGAAAGAAAGAAAGAAAGAAAGAAAGAAAGAAAGAAAGAAAGAAAGAAAGTAAGGAAGGGAGGGAGGGAGGGAGGGAGGGAGGAAGGAAGGAAGGAAGGGTCATCTGAATCAAAGCAAAACAAAACCAGCAACTATTTTCATTCCTAAAAACAGAAAACCTAAATTTAATTTAATGAACTGTATAAGTATTAAATTTCCTCTGTTCATGCAATGAAACCCACGTTTTCTCCACCTGCAACTCCAAGCATGTCACTTGGATGGGCAACTTTTGAAAGGACCAATCTGAACCTCTTTTCTCTTCCACCTGGCAAACTTTCCCAGAGGCATCAGGGAGAAGCTAACAAAGAACCAAAAGTGAGAAACAACCTTTACAAACAAAAAACAAAAAAACTCCTTACTAAAACTGAAAATTCCAGTTTCTGGGTGGATTTGATCTGCGCTAAATCTTTCCCAGTGCATTAACTGCAAAATATTATTGATGGACTGTAATCCTAAAAAAAGGATAGAAATGAAGGCTGACATCCCAACATATGTTCAAATCTGCCAGACTTACTGACAGATTTCAGTGTGCCTGTTTCTAATTTAGAACAACTTCACAAAGACACTGTATTCTTGCTATGGGAGGGCTGATAGCAGCTTCTCTCTTGGCAGCCCTGACAATGTTTGATGCTGAAAGAGGCTTTTGGAAAAAAGACACTCAGCAAAAGGGACCTTCATCTGCATTCAACTTACCCATCTCTGCTTTTCATTACTACAAGCAGCTGGTTGGCTTTTTACAGCTGAAAGAAAAGCAAACCAAAAATAATAACACAACGATGAGGACAAAGAATACGTTACCTTTGGAACAGAGCATCTCCTTCGGTTTGGCCATCGCTGCGTCCATCATTCCGCCCCAGAGGTGCAACATGGAACATCCAAGAGAGGATCCAGAAGGAAAAAAAAGAGAGAGAGACAGAGAGAGTGAGGATAGTTAGTAATCACAGGAGCTAAAAATCCACTTTATTCTCCGACAGTCAAGTCCCACTTCAAATATTATTCCACTGCTGCAACCCCCTGCTCAGGCAGGAAACCCTACACCATTTCGAACAAATGGCTGTGCAGTCTCTTCTTAAAAACTTCCAGTGTTGGAGCATTCACTGCTTCTGGAGGCAGGTTGTTCCATTGGTTAATTGTTCTATCTGTCAGGAAGATTCTCCTTCGTTCTAGGTTGCTTCTCTCCTTGGTTAGTTTCCACCCGTTGCTTCTTGTCCTGCCTTCAGGCGCTTTGGAGAATAGAGGCACCAAACTTTAAAACTATTATCAAAATACCTAATTCAAATGTCATTGGCCACTTGTGAACTGGCCAATAGGAGGGGGTGGCAAGGAAAAAGGAAAAGTCCAGAGTTTGAATATTCAGATCCAGCTTTGCTTATGCTGGAACCACTTGACTTTAGCAAAAGTAAACCTTTCGCTACGAAATGGGAGTCGAGGGTCTTCCTTTTCTAAAAGGAACTTGGGACAAGCCTGACAGTAGCTACTATCTATGTCCTGCTCCAAAACATTTTATGAATCATGAAAAGGGGCGACTGAAGGCAAGTAATTTTCAGTGGGGACATTTCACTGGGCTTTTTTTTTTTCAGAACCAGATTTTTTTTTAAACCCTTTTATTTGTCCAACCTTTTGAATTGGTTATGAATATGGAACATTATGACCGTTGCTGACCTCTTTCCTAGGCTGCATTGTTGGAATCTGACTGAGTTACGTCCTCCATAAATGATAGGACTACAATTCAGCACAGATGTGTCACTGAAGACTCGGTAATTCTCGCCAATCCTTTTTTTTTTTTTTTACTACATCTTCCCAGCATCTGTTTCCATGCCGTTTTGGAATGTAAGAACCTTCAAAACTGCTACTCAGGGAGCTCAGAACGTTATAGTAGAAGGTAAATATTAAAAATGGCTCCCCATATCCTCCAGCTGAGCAACCCACGAGTGATGTTCAGTTCCCAATAGTCTGAATCCAACTATAATGGCTTTCTCAAAGCTTGGGAAAAAGAAGACTGCTTGCAAAATATTACAAACCACGAACATCTGCACATTCTGGCTAGCTCTATGCTAGGGCTGAATGTTCCTTCGCCTTATATCAAAAGACTGCTCTCTGGATTGCAGTTGATCCTCAGCTTACCACCATGACTGATCCCAAAATCTCTGTTGCTAAGTGAGACACTTGTTAAATGAGTTTTGCCCCATTTCACAACCTTTCTTGACACAGTGCTTAAGTGAAGCACTGCAGTTAGGCGAATCTGGATTCCCCCATGCTTGTCAGAAAGTTGCAAAAGGGGATCGTGTGACCCCCCCCCCCGGGACGCTGCAGCTGTCATGAATATGAGCCAGTTGCCAAGCACGTGAATTTTGATCACGTGAGCGTGGGAGTGCTGCAAGTGTGAAATATGGTCGTAAGTCGTTCAGTGCCGTCGTAACTTTGAACGGTCACTAAACCAACGGTTGTAAATCAAGGACTGCCTGCAGAAGACCTCCAAGATCCCTTCCCACTCTGTTATTCTGTTATTCGTTCCCACTTTTAGCTCAGCGATATTGACTCTGTCCACAGCAGGAGGAAGCGCCTGATGGACTTTATCTGGCGTGAGAAGCTCATAAGCATCAGACTTAGTTGGTGCTGAGATGAAAGAACGCCAGCTAATCCCGGAGCTTCAGGATGTAAGGAGATGCTGAAATGATGCTGTGGAAGAAAATGATAAATGGCTTCATGCTGTTGCCAAGAAAACTATGAAAATGTGTTCATGATGCCACTAGGAGGGTAAGTTGAGCTCCGAGGAGATCTACCTTTGCTTCGCATGCCTCTAATTTTTTGTCTTCACATCTTGACAACTACCGTGGAGATAAAGCTGGATTGTTTAACAGCTATATCGTTTCCATCTGTTGCATCTTGTTTCTTGTCTTGCCTTTTGATCCTTTGGAAAATAGTTGGACACTCCTCATCTTTGTAGGAGCCCCTCAAATATTGGAATAGTGCTATCACGTCTCCCCTACTCCTCCTTTTCATTAGACTAGTCGTACATGGAGAATATCCTTAAATATCCTCTATCACTTCACTTAAAGTCTTCCCTTAATGGATCCCTAATAAATGTACGGTGGTACCTTGATACTCAATTGCTTTGAAACTCATTGAATTTGGTACTCAGCACATTTTGACATGAAAATTTTGTCCCGGTACTCATTGTTTGGTACTTGATGCACAAGCTAGAACTTGTCCATGTTGGATGTCTTACGGCTCACTATATTATTCCTTATGGGAAAAAACTGTTTGGTACTTTCTTATCATTTTTGGTACTCATTGTGCCTCCCAGAATCAATTAACAATGAGTACCAAGGTACCACTGTAGTATGAATTTGCCTGGCACAACAACACACAACCACAGATGCTGGCCCTGTCTCCATATCTTCCTTCCCACCAGGAACACAGAATGAATATGATAGTCTTACTTACATTTCTTTTAATATCACCCGATTTCACAACAAGTCTTAAATTCAGCACAATCACTCCCATGTCGTCCTCCAAGCTGTTTGGATCTTCCAGTTTTAGGATCTTCTCAGTTGTCCTGCTTGAAAGAAAAGGAAATTAGACTCCAACAGCAATTACAGTCAAGGAGAAGCAGCCGTTACAGGTGTCTATGGAGATTCTCAGTCATCCAGATACAGACACATATATTAATTTCAGGAGCTAATATGAATGAAGAAGCAAAAATTATCCAGAATATTTTACTATGAATGGTCTTGCAATTAAACTAATCCATCACCTTATGATTATTTTTCTTTCTCTGTTTCCAGTTCATGTTTCAAGGGTCCCAGGGGAAATGTGATCCTGAGCTGAGCCCACTCAAAGTCAAACTGCCTTGGTAGTGTTCAGAAAGGTAGAAGCAAAAAGGCTCTTTAATTTAAGAGCAAAACAGTGAAAAAGACTCAAATATTCACTCAGCCATAGAGAGTGCAACAGGGCCAGGCACCTTAAGTGCTCTGTAATGGATAACTGCTTTTTGAAAGACAAATATAAATGTGAGATTACCTGTTCAGTTCCAGTTTGTGAAGCATTAGAACTGCTGAACCCATGAAATCAGAAGAAGTCAAGTCTCTGTCGTAAACCTGAGGAAAAAATACAGATAAGATTGTCTGAAAATAATTTCAAGCTCGTCTTTTTCCAATTCAGTGTTGGCCAACGAAGCTGAACCAACTAGGACTATAACAAACAAGAATAAACTCTTGGTCTTTGCAATCGTGGACTTGTTGTTGTTGCTGTTGTGTTGCTATCACCAACTGAACTATTTTCAAAAATATGCACCATGTTTCCACAAGCCAGTGTCTTACTTCCCCCCCCCCTTTTCAAGTGCCCCCTTTTATCTGTTGCAAACAAAACGGGATCTGTACAAGTTACCAGGAAGCCCCCACAAGCTACTTCTTATTTATTTTTACAATTGTAGTTCAGGAAACTAAATGTGACTATGTTAGGATTATGTTTGTCAAGACTGTATGTTGCTTTTAGTTCATCGCTGATCACTTTCTGGAGCTTGCGTTCGGTTCATAGTGCACTGTTGCCCCCCTGAATGAGTGTGGCTGCTCTGCCCTTGCTTTATTTTGTCCTCAGGAGGCCTTTTGAGAAGCTATGATACATGTATATGTGTAGGAGATGACCAGGCTGAGCCTGAAGGTGGGGTCAAATACATCATTAGTTTGGAATCTCTGTGCCAATGTAAGAGACGTAAATTCAGCCTCTCTTGAAATCCGTCAACTCTTATTTGGCACTTATTGCCCTGACCGTTAGTAGCTCAGATTCTTGTGTAAAGATAACATGAAATAAACTTCTGGCACTTCTGAACTCTATCCTGGTTTGTGATTTGTTGTACCTGACAATATGGGGTTCGGCATATGGAAAATACAGGTAAGGAAATGAGCTATCCAACAGGCTTTTATGTATGGAGAGGAATTGCATGAAATGGGTTTTGCTTTGGAAGTCAGAACAAGAGAGCTTGCAAAGTTGTGATGACATCCTTAAAGGAAGTGAAAGGAGTTGTACAGTTTGCACTTCAAGCATGCCATTTGGCTGTAAACATCCCTAAAGAGAATTATCTACATTTCAAAGATTCCTTCAGGTAACAGCCTTTTCCTCCAACCAAAATTAAAAATGCATGGATGAATTCTCATGGAAATCTCCCTGCTCTTGTTAACACAACAAAGTCGGCTTGGAGGGACAATATCACATATGACAGCATTTGGTACGGTCGGATTGACGGCTTACCTTCACCCAGAGTTTCTGGTCCAAAGACTGTATTGGAAGCACCACGGTTTCGTCCCAAACTGGATTCAGGTTCCTATACACCACTTTGCTTTTATACAGGGTTTTTCCATTCAGCTTAAACTTTACATATGGATCACTCGTACCTTAATAGCAAAGCATAACAAAGACTATGTTAGCATAGCCCAGAGTTGTGAAGAGTTGGGCAGTGTGCAAATTTAAACATCATCATCACCTCAGGTCCATTGAATTAAAATAAATGTATGAAGCAGTAAAAAAGAAACATGGCATTTTCCAAGTGAACTGAAACAGTTCTCCTTTATCTTTCTCTCCCCCCCCCTCCATCAATTGAGAGGATGACTTTTGTAAGTTAAGTCTCTTCAAAATGTGACACCCCCTGTACTCAACATTAGACAATAAATTGATAAATACAGCCTAATTTTGTGGACTGTGCAGAAGAGAAAAAAATCACTGGAAAGCAGAAAACAGCAGCAAACATTTCAAACAGAAATGTTTGGGGGGGGGGTAAACAGAAGCAAGAGGAACAGAAGCAACTGGTACCCCTTCCTTAATTTCTCTTGAATATTCTGAACATTTCTCCCCCCTTTTTAAGCAAAAACAATGGAAGACAGAAATTGTACAAAATATGGGAGCAATGGGATAGAGAGAGATCCCAGATCCTCAGCTTAACAGAATAACAGAATTGGAAGGGACCTTGGAGATCCTCTAGTCCAACCCCCTGCTCAAGCAGGAGACCCTATACCCTTTCAGACTAATGGCTGCCCAATCTCTTCTTAAAAACCTCCAGCAATGAAACACTCACAAATTCTGGAGGCAAGTCAGTCCACTGGTTTTATTTTTCTCACTGACAGAAAATCTCTCCTTAGTTCTAGGCTGCTTCCCTCCTTGATTAGTTTCCATCCATTGCTTCCACTGATAAAGAGATTCCATTGATAAAGGGAAGACGGCCGCCATTTTAGAAGCAGCCAAAAACACTAAAAAAATCCCACAATGATTGGTCTACTGGAAAGAGCCCTCAGCAAGAAAAGTCAACGCAAAATCAAGTGGCCTCAGGGCACAACGCATCCGTTGTGTTTCTTTCGCTTGCTTAAGTAAAACAAGAGGTACCCATGCCACAAATCTCAATTTCAAAAAGGAAAGGATGGGCCACAGTAGACCCCTAAACATTTCTCCTCCTAAATGTCCAAGGAGGTTCTCAGTCCTCCAGGTCATGGCTGTCCCAAAGATGCTTTTTCATGAGGCAACTGGACTTTCTTGTTTTTTCTTTGAAGATGTTTTGCTTCTCATCCAAGAAGCTTCTTCAGCTCTGACTGGATGGTGGGGAATGGAAGGATTTATACTCCTTGCAGACAGCTGGTCATTTGCCTTCTTTTAGAGCATTGTTAGTGCTACCTGGAGGCTTATCTGTGTCTTCAGGGTCATGGGTGTGGAACCTTCTTGGAACTGTTGAAAGGACTGTGTGGTAGACTAGAGATGGATGATGTCTTATCCTTCTTGGATGAGATGCGAACCCTCTTCAGAGAAAAACAAGAAAGTCCAGTTGCTCGTGAAAAAGCATCTTTGGGATTTCTCCTCCTAAACAAAGGAAAACAGCACTGACCCACCTCTCCCCTGCCTCCTTTTTGTAACACAATGATCTCCCGACCAAATTTCCTTCTGGGCGAGGAGGGGAAAGGCGGAATATAATGAAAGAGTATTTTAATTAAATGAGATTGGTTCCCTGGGATCAAGTCTTCACGCCTGTCAGTTCCCTCTCCAAATAAACATCTCCAAAGCGGTCCTCGGTGGTGTCACTTACGGGGGCAAAGCATGCTGGGTAATCCCTGGGCGTCTTGACAGCTACCTAATGTTCAAACTGTTTCACGGGTGAATGGCGGTCCTTGCGTGAAAGAAAATATTAATGTCTGGAATTAATAGGAAGATGGAAGAGGGGGGGACAGCCGGAGCCAAAATGAGGGAAAGACGTGACAAGTTAGGGAGATGTTAATTGTGAGGGAGAAACAATTGAGAGGTTCTTGGAGAAGAGAGGCTGGAGAAGAGAGGCGAGCAAGTGAGGAGGGGTGGGTGGGTGGGTGGATGCCTTCTCCACACCCACCCTCGGCAAAGCCAACAAAACAAGCCAGACACACAAGGAAAGCTTGTCAAGAAAGTAACATCTCAACCAGGCAAAATGACAGGGTGGGGAAGAGCAACAAATGGAGACAGGAGAAGGAGGAGGGGGGTCCTAAGAACTCAAGGGAGGTGGGAATCCCAGGGGGGGCTCTGTCAGTGTCAACTAACAGATGGGGTGAAACCTCAATCTCAGCAGCTTTACAAACAACAGAGCCGTGGGCATTGACTAAAACAGCCCTGGCTGACAAAAAGCTGCCCGTTGAGTCCTTACAGCTCTGACGCTGTTGTTTTAAGGATCTGTTTTAACTTTCCTCCTTTAAAAGGAGTAACTATTTTCTTGGACCAACATCTCGCCAGCACAAATAAGCCATTGTTTTCTCGCAGGGAGTCAGAAGGGGAAGGGAATTAACTAAACTTCAAAAGAACTTTATCCTTCTATTTGCTTCCTAAATGGTATTCTCGTTTAAAAAAAATAAATGAGACAATTTTGAGGGTGGGGATAAGACCAGAACAATTACCTTGTTTATTCCATCCAGAGATGGGATGCTATCCTCCCAAGATAAAAAACAATTACAAGAAAAGTTCACTCATTCGTGCTCTTTATTTACTATTCTATTCCTAGAGTCCTAGAAGTGAGCAAATTTACTCAGGAGACTTAGCGAGGAACTGTCAGATGGCTTTGAACATTTAAATAAATGACAGCTACCAGGTCCATCCACCTGCTTCCTGAATTCCCCAAGAATTTTAATAGGCTAATATGTTACGTTTGCAGAAGTTGTAATGTTGATTTATTTTTCCACAACACTTGTTCTTCCGGGTGATTGATAACAATACCTACAATAAAACCGCTATTAATTTATCCAGAAAATGCTTTCAGTTAAATGAGTCTATAATTGCTCCATCCCCCCACTCCACCACCACCCCAACCCCCGTTATAGCAACAGCTTGGATTCCTTTTCAAAACCTGGTGTGACTTGGCTAGTGCATGGTTCTCAAAATTTTGTAATAACGTACCTTCCAAAATGATAAATGACTCTGATGATGAGTCTCATGAATAAGACGAAATAATAAATAAGTCAATAAAACTAGAATTGTTGTGATTGATGGATAGTTCTATTCCAATTCTTTCTCTTACAATCTCATGTTTGATTTTATCCCTTCTGGCCATTCCAGCAGCTTTCCTCAAAGATCTCATTTCTGTGGTAATTAACTTTCACTTATGCTTTATTGCAAGTGTCCAAAGAAACTTAGACTACATACAAAAACAGCAGGTTAAGTGGTTCGTCCACCTGAAGAGAAAGTCTTGAGCTTCTATACCATACAAAGCAGAGGTCTTCAAACTTGGCCCTTTTATGACTTGTGGGCTTCAACTCCCAGAATTCCTCAGCCAGGCACACGTGCCTGGCTGAGGAATTCTGGGAGTTGAAGTCCACAAGTCATAAAAGGCCAAGTTTGAAGACCCCTGATACAAAGCAAGTCAAAGAACATGAGGCAGACCCAGAAGAAGATGGAGAGACAACATCAAAGACATAACAGCACCAGATAACAATGGTTGAGGCCACCAGAAGAGCAAAAATCAGAACTTCATATCTCCCTCAATATCCAAAGAGTAGGAGAAGGAGGAGGAGGAGATGGACGTGGTGGTGTGGTGGTATGGGCACTTGGTTACATTTAACTTTCTTGAAAAACTTGCTCACTGTACTGTGAGAACTCAGTCTTGGTCTTAACTTCTCGCGTAAGTCACGCTGACGTATTGAGCAAGCACAGTTTGTTTTTAGCTTTCTGTTTCAGCCTAGCTGAGGTTTTCTTCTGAGTTTTGCAACAGACACAAAACGAGCACGTTGGAAAGACCTGTATTTTGCTGGACAGCTTCAACAAATTACTATTAGCCCAAAAATAGGATGGGTTCAAACTAGACACAATTGTAAGACAGTTCATGATCTGGACAGAACCGCGGTACTAGAGTCAATCTTCTCATTACACTATTTACTTCTCCGTTTCCCAACCATACAGATAAAGAAAACTTCCCACTAATCAATGCGTGAAATGTTTGCAGATCAAACAAGGGAGATGCATTTTTATCCAATTCTTCTATCGAACACGTTGCAATGTTGTAAAATATCCAGCAGAGGGAGCCAGATTAAAACACAAATTAAATGTTTGTTTTTTCCTAACAATAACTAGGACTGAATGAGGAGCTTTTGAAGATCTGTTTATAAATAAGAGATGAGATATGGAATGAATACAATGCTGATAAGTTACTAAAACTGTTTATGATGAAGGAGGAAGTCATCTCTTTATACATTTCTTTTTCTTTGCTATATTCTTATTTTTTTCCCTTTCTTTTCTAAGTTCCCAATTTCTTTTCTATTTTTTCTTTTTATTCTTTCACGTGATTTTGGGGATGCTGCAATGGACACAAGTGTGAAAAACGATCATAAGTTACTTTTTTCATTGCCGTTATAACTTCAAAAGTTCACAAAGTAAGCTATTGTGAATCGAGGACTACCTATATTGCATCGTGACACATAATACAATAAAATCTTTTTTTTCCTTTTTTGGGGAAGTAGGTTTTTTTTTCACCAATTCAAAGAATTTGGCAGAGGGGGGGGGGGGCTCTTTGCTGTCTAAAGTCTTGCTAAACAACCTCTAAACCAGTGTTTCTCAACCTTGACAATTTTAAGGCATGTGGACTTCAACTCCCAGAATTCCACAGCCAGCATTCTGGGAGTTGAAGTCCACATGCCTTAAAACTGTCAAGGTTGAGAAACACTGCGAGTCTAAACCAAACTACCAGCAGAAGGAAATGGAGCAACATGACATTCTCATTAAAATCAACTGTCCTCACGCAGAATAATCTCAGATCTTTCATTGAGGGCAATTGCTGCCCACTTCCTATGGAAAGTTTCTTGGCTGGGTTTCTCTTAGTAAGAATCTCCAACAGCAGCAGGAAGTGGTAAGCCTCCATTGGCCTTCATAGATGGCTAGAGCTGGTTAAGACATAAGTGAAGGCTACCAGAAAATTCAAGGAGAACAGGCTAGGCTAGATGTCATTCTGTTTGGATACTAACCTGGTTTGGCTTGGTTTTAATTCAGAGATCTATAAAATTCAAACACCGATGGCATTTTTATCTACCTGTTAACCCTAAGGCTCTTTGGATGTGCGGAAAGTGCAACTTAAATCATTCACAGCAATTTGATAGAATAGAATAGAGATGGAAGGCACCTTGGAGGTCTTCTAGTCCAGCCCCCCACTCAGTCAGGAAACCCTATACATTTCAGACAAATGGCTGTCCAGTCTCTTCTTAAAACTTCCAGTGTTGGAGCATTCACAGCTTCTGGAGGCAGGTTGTTCCACTGATTAATTGTTCTAACTGTCAGGAAATTTCTCCTTATTTCCAGGTTGCTTCTCTCCTTGATCAGTTTCCAACCATTATTTCTCATCCTTCCCTCTTTCTCTCTCTCTCTCTCTCTCTCTCTCTCTCTCTCTCTGTCATTTAGTTCTGCATTTATTGAAAAATTCTTTCCCATTTGTACTTGCTTCGCTCTGGTTTTGTTCTTTTAGATTTTGCTGACCATTGACCAAATAAAAATTACCAATCCTATCAGCCAGAAGGTTCCCATTAGATCACAACATGAGTCAGTAGCCAATCATTGAACTTCAGTAGCATATTTTCTCACAGAAATCAAAAATAAGGGATAAATCCATATCAATCTAATGGGTATCTGCATTTATGTGACTCACCACAGCGATCACGGATGACCAGGTTCCTGCCTTCTTTCAGGTGTATCATTAACAGATACGCAAAGCAACTGGGTTTACTCAAACCATCACCGGCTCCCTCAAGAGTCTAGGAAAGGGTTTTGAAAAAAGGAAATTAGCTGAAGAGCCAACATAGGTAATACTCAGTCACCCTTATAGGAAAAGTCAAATTCCATGCAGCAGTCAAGTCTTCATCCGGCCACTATCAAGTCAACCATCATCCTTCTCCATTGTTTGTTCCTTCACCTCCATGACTACCTAAGCCAGTGTTTCTCAACCTTGACAATTTTAAGGCATGTGGACTTCAACTCCCAGAATTCCACAGCCAGCAATGCTGGCTGTGGAATTCTGGGAGTTGAAGTCCACATGCCTTAAAATTGTCAAGGTTGAGAAACACTGACCTAAGCAATTGTTGGCCTCCAAAGATGAAAATCACACCCTTAAGCAATCAGACCCTCAATATTTCATGTAGTCCTCAACGCACAACCACGATTGAGCCCAAAATTTCTGTTGCTAAGCGAGACAGTTGTTAAGTGAATTGTCTGTTTTTTTTCATAAGATGTGTCTTCTACATGACATGCCCCCACTCAGCCATGCTGCTCGGACCACTCCTTAAAAACACATGATGGAACTAGAACAAATAATCCAATAATTTCCACTGCTGTTCCAGTGTGGTTGTTGACCACTCTAGAAGCTGCATACAAACAAAGGCTTCTTTACTGTAAAGAAATCGCTCCCCACTAAAGTATCGCTGAACTGATATTTAGAACCCTCCGATTAACCACAATTTCTTGAGTTTCACTCCATCTCCCTCAAGAGCAACAAAATTACTCACAGGTTCAGATATCTGAGAAGAATATGAGGTGTCAAGGCTGGACTCTCCGTATGATTGCTACAGAAAAAGAAGAAATGGTGAATTAGGGAGATTTTGCTGAGATTCGTTGCATTGCACTGAGGAAGGGTTCAACCAGTTTCTATCTAGGAATAGTATCGGGGTAGGCAACCTTGGCTCTTTTATGACTTGTGGACTTCAACTCCCAGAATTCCTGAGCCAGCGTGGCTCAGCTTGGAAACCTCTCCCTTTCCCCTCAGCGTGGCTGGCTCAGGAATTCTGGGAGTTGAAGTCCACCAGTCATAAAAGAGCCAAGGTTGCCTACCCCTGGTATAGGTAGTCCTTTATTTATGACTACAATTGGAATCATAATTTATGTTACTAAGCAAGTGGGTCGATAACTGAGTCATACCCAGTTCTACAACCTTTTTTTCCCACGGTTAAGTGGCTCGTGCTATTGTTAAAGAAATCCGGCTTCCCCCATTGGCTCTGGCAGAAGCCAGCTGGGAAGGTCAGAAATAGTGACCACGTGATCCCAGGACACGGCAACCATCATAAATACATGTCGGTTGCTAAGCACCCAAATCTTGGTCACATGACTCTGGACATGCCGCAATGGTTTTAAAGTGTAAGGACCGGTCATAAGTCACTTTTCCCAGTGATGCTTTAACTTCAAACGGTTGCTAAATAAAATTGTTGTAAATTGAGGACAACCCATGTTGGTGAATGAAGGATTGAAATGCAGGAGGATGGGTTTGGGTGGGGGGTCCAATTCAGACTTTTCCAGAAAAATGCATGACTGACAGATCTTAATAATGATGATGATGATGATGATGATGATGATGATGATGATACTATTATCTGAAAGATTTCTGAGATGGGAGAAAGACTTGAACCATCTCCATTTCTAGTCCCAAAAATAGCTCCTGATCCCTGAAAGGCAGCACACTCAAGCTAACCCAAGAAGAAAATTGGAGGGTTTGCTTCAGCTAAATTGTGTGAGTCAACTGAAAAATAAAGATAAAAGCTTTGAAGTCATGGATGAAACATAAGAATGTCATCAGAGGTACTTAGCTCCCATATCAACAGCTACTGCTTGCTTCAAATAGCTTTCAAGTGATTTTTAAATTCACTATTACTGGATATATTTTGCCCAGAAATAAAACCTGTATTTTGGTTTGTGTGCAACAGAGCTTACTCGGTTTAGTAAACCTTAATTTTACAATTCTTAATACTTACTTAATATTAAGCCAGCTGATGTGTTTTTGAGATGCAAATGAAAAACAAACAATTCTGCATACTGAACTATTTTTGATAGCATCATTAAGAAAAGGAGAGAGAGAGAGGGAGGGAGGGAGAAGGGGAGGAGAAGGGGGGGGAGAGAGAGAAAATCAGTCAAACTGAAAGCAGAAAAAATGAAGTTGTGTATAACCAGAAGATTGCAAGTAAGGTTAAGACGTAGAGATAGAGGGATAGAAAGAGGGGGGGGAGGAGAGAGAGAGGGACAGAGAGAGATTAGATACCATATCAGTCAAACTGAAAGCAGAGAATCTAGCAAGATAAAATTAAGTTCTCTAAACAGGAAATGCCCAATAAGGTTGTAGGAATTTGACATTTAAAGAATCTATGATATGCTAAAGTTGATTCCTAAATATGATTTAATATGTCCCTCTTTGTTGCCTTAAATATACTTCGGCTAGAATGGAAAATGTTTTCACTGGATTTCCCGTAAGTAAAGTCAACTCAATGTCTTGGGACTACAAAGCCTAAAATCTGGTGAGGGGGCTATGACAGATTGAAGAAAGCTGTAACGACAATGATTAAAAAGCTTCATTTCTTTTTAAAAGTAGAAATACAATTTACAGCAACGATGTCCTTGAGTTGATCTAGACTTATACACAGGTCCCTTGGCTGATCTCAAAAAAGTTGTGTATTATTGAAGTTGATTGTTACTTGGATGGGGAATCATCAAAAGAAGTCTTGGATTGTAGACTAGACTGAGATGTTACAAACAACAACAAGACAGTGCCAAACCATTTCCACTTTATATCAAAAAGAACAGGGACGTATTGTGTGAAGTAACCAGCACTTAACCTTGACTCAAAAGAGACTTTAGGGCTTTTAGAAATGAACTACATTCAATCTTGGATTATCTTTTCCAGTTCAATGCCTCTAGAGCAGTGTTTCTCAAGCTTCGCAAGTTGAAGATGGGTGGACTTCAACTCCCAGAATTCCCCAGCCAGCATGGCGCTGATTGGGGAATACTGGGAGTTGAGATCCACCCATCTTCAACTTGACACGGTTGAGAAACTCTGCTTTAGACGAATTAGAACTACAGGAATTCCCCACTGATATAAACCTTTTCGTGCGTTCAAACCGATCTCCCCCCCCCACCCCAAAAAAAGATTCATTTTGATTTGTCCTATTTTTAAAATTGTCCAAGGCTTGGGAAACATGCGGGAAAAGAAACTATGTCAGATTTAAGTGTTCCCCCAAAGCACATTACCTCAAGGGCGTCTTCTGTAAGGTCATTGCTGAAACTGTTCCTCCGCAGCATCTCCAAAAAATCCTCAGTTGATTTCCGCCTTGCTTCCAAATCTGGTCGATCAACCATCAACTCTTCAGTTCCCTGAACCCCAATTTCCAAGTGGACGGTCTCCTCCTTCCTCCACTGCCATTCTTCCTCCGTCTGCCCAGTGGAAGAGTTACTACTGGTTGGAAGAAATAGCTCAGAGGCAGAAAAGCCACTTGGGAAGTAAGTGGACATGGCTTTGGCCCTTGAATAGTGCATCTCTTCTTCAAGTTTTGTTTCTATGTTCAGCACATCAGGAACCGAGGAACTAAGTCGGCGATCTAGAGGATGAATCTGTCTTTTCTCTATCAGTTTGGCTGAGCTTTTTTTAGTCCTTCTGACGCTCAGGTTTTGCAACAAAGGCTTCGTCCTTTGTTTCAGTGATCCCCAGACAGAAGCTTTCTCCAGATCCATTATTAAGCTGACAGCCTTATATAATGCTCCTAGTTGCACGCCTCTCACCAACTTCTAGAAAACAAAGGGGTTAAAGAGAGAGAGAGAGAGAGAGAGAGAGAGAGAGCAAAAGAGCAGTTATTTTCTGGAAATGCACTGATTTCAATCATATGCCAAGATGTCTCTGGCAGATACCTTGAACAGATCCCGATCAAAACAGATTGCATTACTAATTTCGCCCAATGGTGGAAAGTCAAAGCAAAACAAAACAAAACAAAACATCTCGTAGGCAAAATGTTATTCTTACTAGGAAGGAAATCAATTCTTGATTCCACACCAGTCATGACGATAAAAATAGTGAAGGGTAAGCTATTTCAGTTGTCTCCCAGAAATTACACAATGGCAATTCCCAAAGGTTGTAAATTATTTAGAGCATGGTTAACCAGAAATTGTGCGTGGAAGAGATAGCTTAATCAGGCACACTCGTAGGTGTGGAAGGGGAAAGACTTGACCCTTAGGAAAAAATACAGCTGGTGTTCCCAACTATCACTTATTAGATTCTCTGGAATTCCCACCAACCTATACTGGCTAAAAAACAATGAGTGCATTAGTTGGACTTCTGAAGCCTGGTCTTAGAACACACAGAACCTGGGTGAAGAAGGGTGAGCTAGACCTTCTAAATGATGGGTCCACCTACTTGGACCACAAGAGAACTTTCCACAGATTGGAGACCCACGATACAGCCACTTTATGCCATTATCCAATTGGCTAGCTTGCCCCCATCCCCATAAACCAGAGGTAAGAGACTTTTTCATCACTTTCAAGAACTGTCTTGAGAATAAGAGGAGTTGCATATCACTGGTGAATGTGCTTAAGGACTAGGAATATAAACTGGGCAGAACCATTCATTCTTTCACCTGTCTCTCTTTATTATCATCCTTTTCAGTCTCTCTTTGCTTCACCACAAGCATCAGGTCAAGGAGGAGTTTAAACGAATGACTTCCCATGGCCTCTTGAACTTCAGATGAAAGTCACATAGGACCTTAAGACTACAGATTGCAGCCCCTTTGCTATTCTGAAAGCCTTTTTGAAACGATCAAACAATCAGAAGCAACCTAGTATCGCCTTTTTCGATTAACACATTTTATCCAAAGGCAGAAGGTTACAGCTCAGTCCATCATCATCATCATCATCATCATCATCATCATAAAGTTGGAAGGCGCCTTAGAGGTCATCTAGTCCAACTCCCTGCTCAGGCAGGAAACCCTATACCATTTCAGACAAATGGCTGTCCAGTCTCTTCTTAAAAACTTCCAGTGTTGGAGCATTCATCCCTTCTGGAGGCAGGTTGTTCCACTGGTCAATTGTTCTAACTGTCAGGAAGTTTCTCCTTAGTTCTAGGTTGCTTCTCTCCTTGATTAGTTTCTATCTGTTGCTTCTTGTCCTGCCTTCAGGTACTTTGGAGAATAGCTTGACTCCCTCTTCTTTGTGGCAGAGATATTGGAACACTGCTATCATGTGCCCACCTCGTCCTTCTCTTCATTAAACTAGACATACCCAATTCCAGCAACCGTTCCTTATATGCTTTAGCCTCCAGTCCCCTAATCATCTTTGTTGCTCATAGAGGGACTAGACTCAGTATCACCAGAGGCTCTCATAAAGAAAAGGGGTCAAGCTATTCTCCAAAGCACCTAAGGGAAGGACAAGAAGTAACGGATGGAAACTTATCAAAAAGAGAACCAACCTAGAATTAAGGAGAAATTTCCTGTCGGTGAGAACAGTTAATCAATGGAATACATTGCCCACAGAAGTTGTGGGTGCTCCACCATTGGAAGTTTTTAAGAAGACATTTGGGGTCGAACGACCATTTCACGGGGGTCGCCAAACAATGCAGTCCGCCATTTTCCCCCCCTTTTCCTTAGCTGAGCTACTCCCTTTTATTCTGTTGGCTTTTGAAAGCCAATAGAATAGACTCTCCTGAACAGAGACTAATTCTATTGGCTTTCAAAAGCCAATAGGAATTGTCCAGGCTGTCTCTGCCCTGCTGAGCCCGCCAAAAGTCCCATTCTGCAAACGGTGCTGCACCAGTTGAATAGTCCTCGACTTACGACCGGCTGAGTAGTCCTCGACTTACGACGGTTGGGGGGTTGCGGCATTAAAAAGGTTGAGAACCACTGGTATAGGGTTTCCTGCTTGAGCAGGGAGTTAAAATCTGGTCCTTTGGGGACGGGAGAAGACATGTATATTTCCACTTTTAAAGCAAGCAAGGAAAGAAGATCACCCATCAGAAGGCATTTCAAAGCAGGAGAAGTTTACCACAACTTATACCTCTCAATTGCCTTTATAAATTGTTTTTTGAGGTCTTGCTTTCATTCTCTAATTTAATATTTGAAACAGGAAAGGTGTTTTTTTTTTTTTTTCAAGAACCAGTAGGTGGAAAAATAGCTACTTCGGCCTTCGTTCAATCATCGTTGGGTCTAAGTTGGGAAAGAGGCAGCTTTTACCACATCCTGGAGAAAACAAACGTGAAGGTGTCTCCATAAACTAAAAATGTATGTTTTTAGAAGGACCTTCTCCTGTCAAGAAAAGGAAACTGATAGCATTTCAAGAAAATGGAAAATGAAAATCTGAATAAATAAGATGTTGAGACAAAACACAAAAAAACAAAGAAGATGTTGAGACCTTGGGGAAAGCGCAGAGAAGAGGAACAAGAATGATTAAAGGCCTGAAGACTAAAACATGTGAAGAACTGTTGCAGGAATTGGGGATGGCTACTCTAGAGAAAAGAAGAACTAGGGTAACATGATAGTATTGCCACAAAGAAGAAGGGGTCAAGCTATTCTCCAAAGTACCTGAAGGCAGGACAAGAAACAATGGATGGAAACTAATCAAGGAGAGAAGCAACCTAAAATTAAGGAGAAACTTCCTAACAGTAAGAATAATTAACCAGAAGTTGTGGAGGCTTTCAGAAAGACACTAGACATCCATTTATCTGAAATGGCATAGGGTCTCCTGCTTCATCAGGTGGGTGGACTAGAAGACCTCCAAGATCCCTTCCAGCTCTGTTCTGATTACAGATAGGGAAGGAATCTGATTACAGGTCTACTTAGATGAAATCAACTGCTATCTTCAAAACCACGCTAGATGTTGACCGTGCAAGGCAGACAATTTGCTCCATGTTTCCACGCCTCTTTTAAAATTTGGTTTGGTTACTATGGCTAAAATATGGGGGGGGGGCAAATTTTTCCTTCTCTTTGACCAACACTCTCTCTGCACAGCTGTACAGATATACAAAGTCAACAAAGAGACTTGCCCGCCTCCTAAAAGCAATTATGTAGAATAGGAAAGAGATGTTCCATCAGTAAATTGGATGATCAAAGAGAGGTGAACTTGAATCTGCTTCATGTCATTGCCAGATGCTGTTCCTGTCAATTATCCCGTTCTCAAAATGTGATTTAATACATTGATTCTCAGCCTTGGTAGCTTTCAGATGTGTAGGCTTCAACTGCTAGTGTTCCCTACCAGTATGGCCATCGCTGGTTTACTAGGAGGTGAAGTCCAGCATGCAGAAGTTGCCAAGGCTGAAAAATAATTAAATACAGGTTTAATTATCATTAGTTTCCATCCGTTGTTTCTTGTTTTGCCTTCAGGTGTTTTGGAAAATAAGTTGACCCCTCATCTTCGTGGCAACCTCTCAAATATTGTAATACTGCTATCATGTCCCCACTAGTCCTTCTTTTCTAGACTAACCATGTGCAGATCCTGCAACCCTTCTTCATATGTTTTAGTCTCCAAGTCTTTAATCATCTGTTTAAGTCAAAGACAGCTTCATATATCAGATGTTGGTTCTCTTACTTCTGTATCAAGAAACAAAACCCTACAAAAAAGTCCAATCCATGCCCCAAAACCAAACTTCACACCACTGACCTTGATAAAATAAGGCTATAACACAGGAATTTCACAATCTCCGATTATTTTTTACTTCTCAGATTTAGATCCACACCAGCTTTGAATTTTCTCTGTTGATCTCTATAGATAGGTCAACAATTCATTCTTCTGTGTGCATTTTTAGGAAGAAACAAGTTTCAGCAAGAGCTAAATTGAACCCATTGCTAAATCCGCAGCTTTTTTCTTTCTCTGCTTTCTTCACCAGTGAAGATCATCACACATGGGTTAAGTTTGAATCCCATTTGCCCCAAATTCCAGTAAAAATAAGGCTTTTGCATAGAAAACATGCATTTCCTCTTTAATTATTTTTTAAACTGAGATTTTGTGCTCCCTCCCCACTGGGGTTTTATCCACTTTGAAATGGCCCCTAGTTTCTATTAATCTGCAGTCATGAGGAAGTAACACTACCTATTTCCACACATCCTGTCCGTTCTCCTTTGACGTTTTCCAAATATATCAAATTGCACTGTGAGCCATAAAACCTGGATTTTTTTTTTCTTTGCTTCCTTATATTTTCAAGGTGCAAAGAGATGTTCCTAAAACCACTTCCTCCTTCTCTTCTCCTCTCCAAACCACTTACAAGAAATCAAAAGGCTGCATTTGACCCTAGAACTGGTCACTGATTCCTTAAATGCACATTACCAGGACTAGGAAAAAAGGAATAAGTTAGAAATTGAAAACTTAAAAGAGTTCTACCTGGCTTTCAAATTGCAGTCTGGGTTGAGCGGGAAGTTCAGTAATAAACCAGCTAGCCTTTAAGTAACAAAACAAAACAAAGTAACAAAACAAAACTGAATTGTGTTCCTGGACTGGAAAATATTGTTAGTAATAACTTAATTTATTTTTATTATTTTTTTAAGAGTTATATCTCACTTTTTCTTCAGATGCTCACATTGTATCCTACATGTATCCCACTTGTATTGTATCCTACCTGTATCCTCACATCATCCTACTTGGGAGATGGGTGTAACTGCTTGGGTGTCAGGTGCAAAGGATCAGGACCATATGTCAAGTTGGATTTATTGCTCAAGCCTGTACACAAAAATTCCAAACGAAATTGGACTTAGACTGTTTGTGACAACATAATGACTCTAAACTGCTAATGCACTTAACGCCACCCCTAGCTCTGCCTGCTCTTCCAGATGTGGATACCAGGGAAGACATGAACCAGGATCCTCCAAATCAGAGTCAACACATTTAACCATTACAATAAAAAAAAAACCAGGACTCAACCATCACAACTCCTTCAACCTCCTTCCAAAACCCCTGCCGGATTGAAATTTGCTTTCTAATGGAAAAAGAAGTATGTCTATTTTTCTTTTCATTAGAAAGCCAATTTAGAGTCTGGAAGGAGATTGAAGGAGTTGTGAAAGAAGTTATGTCTACTTCTTTATTCACTTAAAGATAAAGATATCCTTAACAATAAAGAATGCCCTGGGAGGCCAAAAAAGAGAAAGAGAGAGAGAGGAGAGAGAACTCTACCAAGTTTTTTTAAAATGAAAAATTGAAGTTAGGGACTGGTTGTACTTTCCCTGTAACAACTATTTTGTTGCGCTGCATTGTATGTAACCTCTTCTTCTTATTGGCTAGCCAAGTCTTCACAGAACAGTTGGGTGGGGAATGAAATATCTTCATAAAATGCCAACTTTCCGGCTCGCATAGATTTCGCTCTTTCAAATATAGGATTGCTATTTGAGATATTTTTACTACAGAGTAAAAATAAATCCATGGTTTACAAATATCAGCATTAAGATAAACCTGTCAGTGAGGTCCATGAGCCAGAAAACATGGCACATGAGGAAGCAGAGTTGAGGAGGGAAGAGGAAAAAATTGACTTCAAATTTTAAAAAGGATAGTTCTAGCCCAAGGGGTCTGCACCCTTGACAACTTTAAGACTTGTGGACTTCAGCTCTCAGAATTCCTCAGCCAGTATAGCATAGTTAAGAATACAAAAGTCAACAATTATAGTCCTTCATGTCCATCAAAAGACATTCAAATGTAGCCTACTGGAAAAATGAATATTCAGCAGAAGAATGTTTTCCATTTTATTGCAGGAGAGAGAGGATGATTAAAACCATTGCTCTAAACCAGGGGTCTTCAAAGTTGGCAACTTTAAGACTTGTGGACTTCAACTCCCAGAATTCTGGGAATTGAAGTCCACAAGTCTTAAAGTTGCCAAGTTTGAAGATCCCTTCTCTAAACTATGGATGTGTTCATAAAACCCCACTTACAATCTTGGACAATAAAAAGTGGTATCTTCTGTTGACCGTGCTAATCTGTGAATTCATTCCGGGTTGCCAAATTGTATTTCATTTGCATATTCAATGTGTTACTTAGAGCTTACCAACCTATAAAGAACTGGATTCTGAGAAGACATTAACCCAGAACCATATTAAAAAAAACATTATGGCTTAAAGAAATGTGTGAACCCAGCCTAGGTTTTGCATAATCAAGTTAGTTAGAAGAAGCTTTAGGAGCCTCCCCTGTCACAGCTCCCATAATCTGCAAGGTCAAACATATTTTACTCTTCCAGTTGAAATAATCCTATCCTGCTAAAGCAGACAATGTTAACCAATATTTGGGAGTCAGAAAGCTGTCTGCAAGCAGCCTTGCCTGATCAGAGTTGCAATTAATGTGCCTTGAATGACAAATGATTTTCACAACAGTTGACCGAATTAAGGAACTAGATGGAATTGTTTATAATTTGAACTGCCCATGAATGAAAATAATTACATAACAACAAACAATTGAAGGAAGAAACTGTGCTTTATAGTATTTGGAAATTTCCTTTTGTCACTTGTGAGATTTCTATCTCATCTTATGAAGAACGGTTGCAGGAGTTGGGTAAGTCTAGTTTAATTAAAGGAAGGACTAGGGATGACATGATAGCAGTGTTCCAATATCTAAGAGGCTGCCACAAAGAAGAGGGGTATCAATTTGCTTTCCAAAGCACCAGAAGGCAGGACAAGAAACAATGAATGGAAACTAATCAAGGAAAGAAGCAAGAACTAAGGAGAAATTTCCGGACGCTGAGAACAATCAACCAATGGAACAGTTTGCCTTCAGAAGTTGGAGGTTTTAAGAAGAGACCGCGCAACCATTTGTTTGAAATGGTCTAGAACAGGGGTCCCAACCCCCGGTCCGTGGATCAGTGCCGGGCCACAGCATGCCAGCATGCACTTCACTTGAGCAAGGAGAGCTTCTGAAGCAAGTTAAAAGATGGAGGGCAGGAAGAAGCATTGACTGGTTCCAGCCCTGATGACTGGGGTTAAGCATCACCGCTGAACCAAGTTGAGAAATTCACACTTGTGCATTCTCTCTCCGATCAAGAATCACAAAGCTGAAGGAGATCATGGAGTCCAAGCCTGTTCAAGGCAAGAATCCAAGTTAAAGCTCCCCCAAAGAGGGGGATTTAACCCCTCTCGAGATGCTGACGACACAAGAAATAGGTTCCAATGGGAGACAGCATTGATCGAAGAAGCTGGCTCAGGAATTCTGGGAGTTGAAGTCCACAAATCATAAAAGGAGCCAAATTTGAACAGCCCTGTCCTAGAGCATAAAAGAGTGTTGTTTAGCCCTATACCTTTCCAGACAGGGTATTCCATTCCATACCACTGCAGACACTGGCAGAGATTTATTTATATGCACACACAAACACAACCCAAAACATCTTTTTGCCATCAAAGCGCTATCCCGTCAGGCTTGCCTCCTAGTTGCTCATCAGCTTTTCAGTTTTAAATGCTGGGCCTGGAACTGGTCTGACCACTGCAGAGGAGAGTGGAAGTTCTATTGTTGATGATTTGGCTGTCCAGACGTAGTATGACTTAAAATTATTGCTAAGTTAGTTTACCGGGAACTGCCTTTGAATATGATCTGGAAATCACTACTGTGTAGCAGAAACATCTTTTCAGTGGGTTTTCGATCTTTGGACAGTTGGTTTCTCTTGATAAATGAAAGTGCTGTGGATTATCTGCTATGGTAATGCTCCACTATTTATAGACCTTCTCATCTAACTATGATCAACCTATTCTTCTCGGAAGCAATTCTTTGGGTTCTCAACCGATGTGGGGTTAAGGGAATGCAAAACTGGAGGCTGATCTTCTCTAGGATGGAACATTTTGTTGCCACCACTCCCTTTGCAACAACTCAATAAATAATGTTTAATTCAGTGTTACTTGGCCTCAGCAACTTGAAGATGTGTGGATTTCAACTCCCAGAATTTCCCAGCCAGCTTGCTGACTAGGGGAATTCTGGGAATCTTCAAGGATGAGAAACTCTGGTTTTGATTTGGATTTAGCTTTGAACTGCTGCTATGGATTCTATCCATCATTGTCTTTGCTGTATTGTTGTTGTTACTACAAATCACAAAGAGACTTGGGGAGAAGAAAAATATGTGCAATAAATAAATTGATGGCAGGTACCTGACTGGGAAAAAGCAAAAGTCTTGTTAATTTGCCCAAATAACCAGGATATAACAGTGACTCAATCTTTCCAATAAGCTACTTTTAGGACCAGAGAGAAAGGAAAGCACAGAACTCCTATTTTCCCAAGCTGATTTGGATATTTCAGTGTCCCAATTATTTTCTCCTGGTTTTCTGCAATGCATGTCACACACACAAAGCAGGAAGAGAACAGACAACACCAATACAAAGCTATTTCCACAGCTAGAAAACTAGTTTAATTGTTCTGTGCTGGCTTTGGTGGGCCATCCACAAATCTGAGTTTCTCTTTTTCAGACCTACAGTGCTATTTTCTCACTTCGTCCTTTCCCCCCCCCCCAACCTACATTTCTACCAAAAACTGCCTCAGTCATAGATTAAGACTATTTAGAGCGGAGGTGTCCAACCTCGGCAACTTAAAATGTGTGAACTTCAACTCCCATAATTCCCCAGCCAGCCATTCTGAGAATTGACGTAACAGGTTTTAACGTTGCTAAGGTTGGAAACCCCTGGTTTAGAGCATCAGATCTATAAAAGCAGATTCCAACAACAAGCCCAACAATGTTTAGCTGAATTTCAGATTCAGACTTTCTCCAGCAATGCAACTCTTCTCCCCAGCGGTGCAGGAACCTGAAGCTATGTTTCCCAACCTTGGCAATTTAAAGCATGCTGGAATTCTGGGAGTTGAAGTTCACACATTTTAAGATGCCAGGGTTGAGAAACACTGGCCTAGAAGAAACGAATGGCGCAACCTTCCACCACAGAGAGTTCTCGAGAAAACTAATTTCCTTACAAAACCATTCACCCTAGAGGCGTATCTTGATAATAAACAATTCTTGCCCAACAGGCTGATTTCAAGAAAATTCATCTCTCCTAAATCTGGTCAACCAAAGCTGCTAGAAGTGGGTAGTGGAGGGAAGAGAGGAGGAAAAAAAATGTCTGCACCAAG